AGTTGAAGTTAGTCATGTCTGGAATGGTGGTGCGGTGCCAGGATTCCATTGTGGGGCCGATTCCGTTGCGGGGTCCAGACGTCTAAGGTCTTGTAGTAGTGCCTCATGGAAGGACAGGCATTTTTTTAACCCCTTCGAAATGGCGTTTCCAGATTCCTGATTCTTATGTATTCTGTACGATATCCGAAAGAATAGAAGTCCAGAAATAAATGAGGTGCTATATTAGGCTCTTTGGGATCGTCGCTAGATCAAGTCATAGCGGCTAGCTACTGTAGTTATAGTACCAACGTAACTACTGTATGTAGATAAACAAAACACCCAGGCGTCTTATCGTCGGGTTGCAAACCTGGTAAAATGCCGACTGCAGGTGTTTCCAATCTGCCAATCCTTCCAATTCTCGAAAATAGAAAATGGGCAAATCAAAGAAAATAAAAGCACTAACGTTAGTCTAAAAAATAACTTATACAACTAATAAACCAGCTAATAGCGGCAATAAAGAGCAGGTTTTTGGCCAATATTATATTAGCACAACAATAACTAACTAGGGGAAGAAGAAAGAAATTAGAAAGGAAGTTCCGCGGCCACAAACAAAACAGGGTTGCATTGTAAGTACATGTACCTCATGCACCTCGCCCCTCAAAGCTCGTTTGCCGTCGTTGGGCTTCTCGGCTCCGAAAATCCTTCCGACTTTGTGCATGTTCCCTCCCGCCTCAAGCAATTCGTTGTCGGCCCAAATAGCACCCGAACACAACATCCTCCCAGAAAATGGGTCTCAGCAAGCTCAGAGAAAAACTCCACCTTCGGAAATCATCAGCCAAAAAACATGTTGAAAGTTCAGCTGCTGCGGGCTCGGGCCGTGTATCAGGCGCCCCAGCTGAGAGCCAGCGAAGCATTGCTGATACCACCACTGAACCATTACTCCAACCGAAACCAGCTGGCGCGGGAATCCATAATCTATGGAACATTGCCTACGAGAAGCTGCGCGAGGAGAACGAGACCTTGGTACACGACTATGAAGAGAACCTCCGTGGAGACCTGGGCGCCGGCCAGGTTTCAATGCTCAGCAGCTCGGCACCTGACAAGAGGGAGCAGGTGGTCGGAATTCTACGCCGCAAGATGGACGAGATTGACCGTGAGACGTGGAAGCTCCGGTTTGGGGCCACCGAGGTCCAGGTCAAGGACTTGGCCCAGCCAGTCGTGGGCATCATCAGCCGGGTGAATGAGTACATCAGCGGCGCAGTAGCCTCGAACCCGTACGCGGCGACGGCTTGGACTGGCGTTACTCTGCTGCTGCCGGTATGTTGTTGGAGGTTGTATTATTCTGAAAAGGCCTGATTAATGGTGGCATGGCGCGCTAACAAGTGTTCACCTTCTTCTTACAGCTCCTTCTCAACCCTTCAGAGCAGGCCGCCGCTCTTGCAACTGGTCTCGAGCATATCTCGAGTCTGATAAACCAGAGTAGAATGTGGGAGGAGCTTTACATTCGACGCTACGAGTCTCCTAAGTTGTTGCCGACCGAGGCAAGCAGCAGAGACTCATCGTTTGCGTCGTTGTCTCATGGTGAATACAAAACCGCGCTCGGATCGCTCTACAAGGAGATTCTTAGATTCCAGCTCACGAGTTACTGCTATTACTCCAACAACGCGGCCTTCCGTCTGGGCCTGGACGTGATCAAGTGGAATGACTGGAGCAAGTTACTGGACGACGTCCGCGAGAAGGAGGGCGTCTTCGCCGCCGTCAGCGCCATCTGGCGCGACATGAAGTACGACGAAGAATGCGCCGCGCTGGACGCCCGGCATCGAGAAGCCATGCTCCGTTGGGACGCCATCGGCGCGGACGTCACAGGGCTGCGGAAAGCGGTCGAAGATGCCCAAAAGGAGAAGAAGCGTGCCAAGTTGCTCGACTGGCTGTGCAACATTGATCCCTCCGAGACGCACAACGCCGCACGTGCCAAGCATGAGAAGGGGACGGGCGACTGGCTGGTCAGACATAATGAACAGTTCCAAGCCTGGAGGGAACAGCCGGGCTCATTGCTCTGGCTGCATGGAAAAGGTATGTTGGGGTGTTGTGGTACTTGTTGCTCCCCGATCATTACGATATCTCTAACATGACGCCTAGCTGGCTGTGGAAAGTCGATCCTCGCATCGACTGTCATCAAGCATCTGAGGAAGCGATACTCCCCCGACCCCTTGACTGCGCTTGCATACTTCTACTTCAGCTTCAGCGATGCAAAGAAGCAAGGCGTGGATGGCATGCTCGCTTCGCTGGTCAAGCAGCTCTGCTCCCGCCGGCCCATCCTGCCTCGCGTGATGGACAGCCTCCACGAGTTCCGGGAAAGAGGCGAACGGCCCGACGCCAAGACACTCGAGGAGACCCTCATCGCGGCCATGGCCGGATTCTCATCGGTTCACATTGTCATTGATGCGCTGGATGAGTGTCTGGTTCTACAGGGCGAGCGGAGGCTACTGTTGGACACGGTACGTCGGATTGTCATGGCGGCACCAGCTAATCTTCACGTATTCCTTACGAGCCGGAAGGAGGTCGACATCGAGGCGGTGCTGGGCCCCCTCTTGTCGCCCCCTTCTAACAAGCTTGCCCTTGACCTTTCTGGCGCAACAGAGATCGTCAACCGCGATATCGGACTGTATATTGATTCAGTTCTCGCATCCCCTGATTTTGAGCCGTGGCCGGATAATATTAAAACGGAGGCAAGGACGATGCTGATCGAGCGAGCGGACGGCATGTAAGTCGTCCTGGGCACAGCCAGATTGAGCACGGGTTCTGACTGTCTCAGGTTCCAGTACGTGGCACAACAGTTCGATGCCCTCAGGAACCTCTCGTCGGTGGCCCTCATTCGCACGGCCATCCAGGAACTGCCTGCCGGGCTCGATGCCACGTACGAGCGATTGCTGCAGAACGTTGACCCCAGATTCCAGCCTCAGGTGGCAAGCTCGCTCCAGTGGTTGGCGTTTTCCCACGAGGTTCTGCGGCTCGAGGAGCTTGCAGAGGTCTTTATCCTCCGCCCAGACAGAGAAACGGCGTTCGACGAGGCGGATAGGCTTTTCGAGCCGAGGCACGTTCTCAAGTACTTCTCCAGCCTGGTGGTTACCGAGGGCTCCAAGTCGGATGACGGGTCCGATTGGGATGACAGCCTTGACTCCGACTCCGACTCCGACTCCTACGTCCCCCTCTTCAGCTTCGGCGACGAATCGGATGATCGTCAACGTGACGCCGGGAGCGGCATCTATGTCAGACTCGCACACTACTCCATCAAGGAGTACCTGATCTCGCAGCGTATTACCCAGGGGCCGGCGGTAGTCTTCGCATTCAGCGAAACTGAGGCCCATCTGCACATTGCGCACTCGTGCCTGGCCTACCATCTGCAACACTGCGCAGGGAATGAGAGTCAGGCTGCCGGAACTGGGCGCCTCTGGTTGCGCGACTACGCCGTCCACCACTGGCCGCAGCACCTTGAACTGGTCCCACGCGAGTTGTGGCTGCCGGAGATCGCCGAAGCTGCTGCCCGCGCTCTGGCAGCGGGGAGCCGCAGCCTGCACCGGATGATGCAGGTGAAAGAATTCCGACCCTGGGTTGATGATCCGGGAGATGAACCCGGCGAACACAGCTACTCCCGGGAGAACGCCATGATGCGACACCCGCAGTGGCTCACAGCACGCATGGGCTTTGTTCAGCTGACCGACATGCTCCTCTCGTTGGACAAGTACCCGACCCAGGAGAGTCTGGACACGGCGCTGGTGGAAGCGGCATACGGGGGCCGCACTGCCGCGGTGGAATTCCTCCTCGACAGAGGCGCCAGCTTGGACGCCACGTGCGAGCCTCTTGGACTGGACGCGTTGCAGGCAGCAGCATACAGGGGCCACCGGCAGACTGTAAAGACGCTGCTCAGCCGCGGTGCCAATATTGATGCGCAGAACGGTGGTTTCGGATCGGCACTGCAGGCGGCATGCGCCGGAAACAGGCCGCGCATCGTTCGACTCCTGCTGCGCCGCCGTGTGAACGTCAACCTTCCGCCCAGTCATGCCGGCAGCCTGGTGACGTCGGCCGTACGCTACGCGTCTGAGTCTGAGTCTGAGTCTGAGTCTGAGTCGGTCGAAATCCTGCAGCTGCTCCTCGACAAGGGCGCCGTCATCAACGCCGCTGGGGGCAGCAATGCCGCAAACAAGGAGACGCCTCTGCATGCAGCGGGATCGAGAATTCATAGCAGACGGCGCCACTTCCGCTTGCTCGTGGAACGCGGCGCTGATGTCAACGCGCCAGGAGGCGAGTATGGGTACCCGCTGCAGGCGCTATCCAGTTCGGAACATGGTGGCACGCGTGGAGAAATCCAGCTGCTGCTCGACAAGGGCGCCGAGGTCAACGCACGCGGCGGGAAATACGGGAGTGCTCTGCAGGGCGCGTGCCATCACAACCACATGCGCATCGACGGCACGAGCGTCGTGGAGCTTCTGCTCAACAGAGGCGCCGATGCTCATGCTCAAGGCGGCCATTTCGGGACCGTGCTGCAAGCCGCTTGTACATCCAAGCCGTACGCCCGAGACTTAGTACGCCTCCTGCTGGAAAGGGGTGTAGACGTACACGCTCAAGGGGGTTACTTTGGAAACGCGCTGCAGGCGAGCTGCTACCACGGAAACTGGGACGTGGCGGAGTTGCTTCTGGACCTCGGCGTGGACGTGAATGCGTCTGGAGGCGAGTATGGAAGCGCACTCCAAGCTGCGGCCGCCTCTGAAGCCGGCGACTCCGACAAGAAAAATAAAATCATGCGACTGCTGCTCGATAGGGGCGCTGAGGTTAACCACCTTGGGGGACGGTACGGCACGGCACTCCAAGCCGCGGCCTTTAACAACGACACCACAAGAGTACAGCTGCTGCTCGAGCACAGCGCTGACATCAACCTGGTTGGTGGGGAGTACGGCACGGCACTGCAGGCCGCGTGCGCCCACAGCAGTCCCCTATGGGACACAGGTGATCCTAAACTTGCGCTTTTTCTGATTGAGAAAGGCGCTGATGTGCATGCTCAAGGGGGTCACTTTGGCAGCGCCTGGCACGCGGCAGCGAGCTACCGAGGTACTAAGTGGGAGACGGTGCTTCAGCTGATGCTCGACCGCGGCATCGACGTCAATGACCCGCGAGGCGTACAGCACGGGACAGCCCTGCAGGCGGCGATGGAACCGTTATGGAGCAACGAGGACAGGACCAAGAGGATCCGGTTCCTCCTTAACAGAGGGGCCAACGCCAACATCCAGGGTGGCAAGTATGGCTCTCCGCTGCAGTCTGCATGTGTCTGCGCGTACAAGCAATTCAGCCACTTGGATATCACGTTCGCCGGCGTCAAGTCCCTGCTAGAGAACTGCCCAGACATCGACGTCAACGCCCAGGGCGGCGTGTACGGGACGGCATTGCAGGCCGCGGCGTACTGGGGTCAGAAGCAAGCGGTACGAGAGCTGCTGCTGAGCGGAGCCCACTCCAATCTCCGCGGCGGCAAGTATGGCAGCGCCCTGAATGCTGCTGTCATTAGCGGCGCTTGGGATGTGGTCGAGCTGTTGCTTGCTTCTGGGGCGAGGCCGGATTGCCAGGTGCTACCAGCGCCCGACGAGGACTGGCTTGCAACGGTTTGCGAAGAGGACGGCCGGGCCGCTGTAGAGCGATACCGTGTGTTCTGGGACAAGTGCCTTAGGTTGTCCTGAGCCGTTGCAGCCGTGGCCTGTTTGGCAGCTGCTGTTTGGAGCGTCTGGATCCCTCCATCGCCGCGATAGCAGTTCCCGCATGGTTGAAAGGAGGCGGGCTCCAGTCGATACCTAGAGATTAAACCAGCGCTTGGCGGGTTGACTGTACTGCAAATTTCGCGACGAGTGTACTGATAGAGTCGCGCCTTGTCCTGTTTTCGGTCCCGGAGCCCACGTCGGAACGAAACAATGACCGGTTTGTTGCCGAACCGTGGATGGCCTGGACGCGTCCAACTCTTGTTTGTTAGACCTCGGGAAACGGAGGAACGTGTTCGGCGTAGCTGAGGCACGACGGGTTTTTCATAGCTGGTGGCGATCTGACAAAATACCTTGGTCGCCTCTGTTTTACTCGCGCTACCACGAGGCCCTGTTTTGATGCACTCAATGTTGTAATTGCGTGAATTTGAAGGATAGTGAGAAATGAAATGTGGCTACCGTACAAGTCGGAGGTTGTGTCGTGAGATTGAGTTGGCGATTGTCCAGAATGCATGAGAGTGAGAATTGAAGCCATCGCCAGTTAGGTCAGCAGCCGCGAAATCCTTGGCGGAAGGAGTGGTCAGTGCGCATTTGAAGCCTGAGGCAGACATGCCAAGCTGTATTACCTAATCTCGAACTCGCACCCATCTGCGTGGATTGACCACATTGGCGAAATTGAGAAAGCGTCCAGACCTCGAGATACAGTAACGTGGCCAGGCACCCTGATTACCTGCCAACCGCGTCACTGATTGGGACCCTCATCTGCGGCATCGACACGACTTACCTGCAGCTTTATCTCGAGCCCGACGAAGCAACAAGCGACGTCGGCCGACTGCCAAATCGTCGAGCAATACCCTTTTCCGAGAACCGAGCCGGTCGTTGCCGTCACTACCCCGCCAAAGTTCCTAGAAGCTCGAGAGTCGCGATATCAACGTTTAATAACGGAATACATTGTCGCCCAAGATGAGGCTAGATGTGAAGGCATGTTGCACACCTCTTACCCATTAAAGACCGGCTGTGTCACGGACATCTGGCCACGAGCTTCGAGCACCCTTAGGAACAAGTCAGCGAGCGCGTGCTATCGCAAGCTTGCTTTCTTTTGGGGCTCACTTGTCTTTGCTTCAAACCAACTTGACGCGACTCGCCCTCAATTGGTCCCTCTTTGCATTCCTTGCTAACATGTCTCTCCACGTGCAGCGGCAGCTCTTTGCTCGCTCCGAGGTAAGCCGTCCCTGCTTCACGAGCTTGCTCATCGCGCCGCTAACAAGAGTCGACAGCGAGTCAAAGGCATTGACTTCCACCCGACCGAGCCATGGATTCTCAGTGCGTTTGCGCGTTTCCCCTCGACTTCAACCTCGCGCGCTGACCCCCCTGCACAGCAACCCTCTACAGCGGCCATGTTTACATCTGGTCGTACGAAACGCAGCAGATCGTCAAGACCTTCGAGCTGACCGATGTCCCGGTCCGTGCCGGCCGCTTCATTGCCCGGAAGAACTGGATTGTCTGTGGGTCGGATGATTTGTATGGAACTGTCCGATTCCCTGGCCTGTGGTGCGGAACTAACCCCTGGGTGACAGCCAAGTCCGCGTTTACAACTACAACACGAGCGAGAAGATCACCTCCTTCGAGGCCCACCCCGACTACATCCGAGCCATTGTGGTCCACCCGACACAACCCTTCGTCCTTACCGCCAGTGATGACATGACCATCAAGCTCTGGGACTGGGAGAAGGGGTGGAAGAACGTCAGGGTATTTGAGGGCAACTCGCGTATGCACATGGCCGGCCCAGCGGACTCAGGGAGGAGGAATGCTGACAGATCGGCTAGACTATGTGATGTCACTCGCGATCAACCCCAAGGACACAAATACTTTCGCGTCGGCCTGTTTGGACAGGACAGGTTTGTGGCTGTTCCTTTTTTGGCATCTGCTCCGCTAAAATCTTAGCAGTCAAGATCTGGAGCTTGGGATCCTCTACGCCCAACTTCCAACTAGAGGCCCATGAAACCAAGGGCGTCAACCATGTTGACTACTACCCCCACAGCGACAAGCCTTACCTCCTAACCACATCAGACGACGTAAGATATAGGGTTTTGTGTGTCTCCGGTCCTGATTGCTGACAAGGTTCCAGCGCACGGTAAAAGTGTGGGACTACACAACCAAGAGCTTAATCGCCACGCTGGAGGGCCATACCAACAACGTGTCCTTTGCATGCTACCACCCCGAGCTTCCAATCATCATCTCCGGTTCCGAGGACGTATGTATCCAACCTTCCGGATAAAACAGGGGGTTTCGAGCTAACCTGTCTTAGGGCACCGTGAGGATATGGAACGCCAACACCTACCGCTTCGAGCAATCGTTGAACTATGGCCTGGAGAGAGCATGGTGCGTGGCGTTCCAGAAGGGCAAGCAGGGCATTGCAGTCGGTTTCGATGACGGTTCTGTGGTCATCAAGCTGGGTCGCGAGGAGCCTGCGGTATCGATGGACGGCTCCGGAAAGATCATCTGGGCCCGGCACAACGAGGTTGTCTCTGCCGTCATCAAGGGTGGCGAATCGACCAAAGACAACGAGCCGATTAACCTCTCGACCAAGGACCTGGGCACCGCCGAGGTTTATCCCCAGAGCCTTATCCACTCGCCCAACGGGCGCTTCGCTGCCCTCTGTGGCGATGGCGAGTACATCATCTATACCGCGCTTGCGTGGCGCAACAAGGCCTTCGGCCAGGCTCTGGATTTCGTCTGGGCCTCCAAAGACAACTCCAACGACTTCGCCATTCGCGAGTCGGCGACCAGCATCAAGGTCTTCAAGAACTTCCAGGAGAAGAAAGGCGGGCTCGATGTCCCGTTTGCGGCCGACGGTCTCACCGGCGGCGTGCTTCTCGGCGTCAGGGGCCAAGGCGGCATTTCCTTTTACGACTGGGCAACAGGTGCCCTTGTCCGCCGCATTGAGGTCGAGCCCAAGCAGGTGTACTGGAGCGAGAGCGGCGAACTGGTGGCGCTTGCTTGCGAGGACACCACTTACATCTTGAGATTTACGAGGGAGAGCTACAACGAGGCGGTCCAGGCGGGGTACGTCGAGGACGATGGTGTTGAAACGGCTTTCAAATTGGTTACGGATATCAGTGAAGGGTGAGAGCTGTCCATGCTGTGAATGCTGTCGCAGCCAGCTAACAAATCACAGCATTCGGTCAGCGGAGTGGCTCGGCGACGTCCTCATCTACACCAACGCGACCAACCGGCTCAATTACCTTGTTGGCGATCAGATATACACGGTGGCGCACTTCGACAAGCCCATGTACATCCTTGGCTATCTCCAGCGTGACAGCCGGGTTTACCTCACGGACAAGGACCTCGCAGTCACTTCGTTTGCTCTTTCTCTTCCCGTCCTGGAGTACCAGACACTGGTTCTCCGCGAGGACATGCAGACAGCCGCGGAGCTGCTCCCCAGCATCCCTCAAGACCAACTCAACAAAATTGCCCGGTTCCTCGAGGGCCAGGGCCACAAGGAGCTTGCGCTCGAGGTCGCCACCGACACGGAGCACAAGTTCGACCTTGCTCTGTCGCTGAACCAGCTGGATATCGCCCTCGAACTGGCAAGAAAGGCTAACGCGGATCACAAGTGGAAGACGCTAGGCGACGCGGGCCTGGCCGCCTGGGATGTTCCCCTCGCCACCGAGTGCTTCGTCAATGCGAAGGATCTCGGTTCCCTGCTGCTTGTCTACACGTCCACGTCGGACCGCGACGGCCTTTCCAAGCTCGCCGAGCACGCATCGGCCGCCGGAGCGCACAACGTCGCCTTCAGCTGCAAGTGGTCGCTGGGCGATGTCCTCGGCTGCATTGAGGTCCTTGTCAAGACGGGTCGGTATGCTGAGGCGGTGCTGTTCGCTCAGACGTACCAGCCGAGTTTGGCTGCTGAGCTGGTTACGCAGTGGAAAAAGAACTTGGAGAAGAACAAGAAGGGTCGTGTTGCCAGGGCGCTGGGGACACCCGGCGAGGATGAGGAGCTGTTCCCCGAGTGGGAGGAGTGGCTGCGGCTGGAGAAGGAGGGGCCTGCTGTTGTGGAGGAGGCTAATGGTGAGGAGGCTGAGGAGGAAGCCAAGGACTCTGAGGAGTCTCCCGAGGAGGAGGACGTTGAATAGTGTGGTTTTCGGTATGGCTCTGCATATGCAGGGACCATGTGATGTGATTACTGGCGTCTGGGTTTTTATGTTGGGGAGAGCAAGAGAAAACTCTGTCCTGTCAGGCAGAAATGATTACTATGTTGCGCATGTTCCATATCCCCCGAGGTGGTGTTGTCAAGGGCGTGAGGCGTGTATAGCGGCGCTTGCTAGGGCCTTATCTAGCTCGGCTTATCCGGTCCCACCTGTGACTAGCTTGTCGATAGGATGCATGCTCTTAGGACTCTGGCGCGGTATAAAGACATTGACCGGCTTTTCGACCCCACAAGGCAGACCGCCGATGAGTATTGGCGATTCATCAACAGGGCCGTGGCATGCGATACTCGTCCGCTAGACCAGCCGTCTGATGATGAATCGTTCGAGGGATTCCTTGACAAGGGTTCGCCTGCCCTCCTTGGCGATAGAGGAGCTAACAACGGAACAATCGCGGTAGAGCTGCAGTCGGAGCTTGTTGAACTGAGTGGGTTCCTTGGCACCAAGATTCACGGACTGAGCACTGATGTTCAATGCGAGACTCTCAGTCAGCACAGATCCATCACAATGACACAGTCCCTGACATAGCGTCATACCATGGCACAATGTCTCTATATAAGGGGGTAATTCCCCTGGGAGGATTAGAGAGGACATTTTTTTCTGTTCCAACAAAAAAGGGACATTCTGAAACACCCTAACCCACTATCTTGATCCTTCATTTGTGTGGTCACTCTGGAATCGTGACTCCAATTCAAGCTTCGTTTCATACCTCAATCTGTTCAATACCATTTGGTTGATCTAAGCTTACTTGAGCATGTAACTGTTGGCTGCCCAACAGAGCTAGCTTGCCTGTGGATTACTAGGGTGCAGGTCTTGTGATGTAATGGTCTCAGGAGTATATTGCAACTAGCTGGTGACGACTCTACGAGTTTGTCTCGAATGGAGAGAGAAGAAGAAAAAGAGTGAAAGACTATGCAAGATATCTGCCGTCTTATACCTCCACATCCTTGGCCTGTGCGCTGATATCGAATAAGATAGAAGTCCACCGAATCTCGAGTCTGGGCCGAGAGTTTGCCGAGGCCTTTACGGGCTCAGCCCGTTACATGTAGGAGTAGCCGCTCGCTACGAGCGCCGTGTTTCTGTATGGGAACAAGACTATTGAGACCGAGTTGTTCATGCTGGTTTTCAATCATCTGAAACTAACAGGCCCTCGGGCTTTCTACATGGAGCGTGATAGCAGCTTGGAAGGGGTGAAGTGGTGTTCGGACATCCTCGACGCGGGTTCTGACTGTTGGGCAGCCAACAATTACCTGCTCGAGTAAGCTTAGACCAACCAAGTGGTATTGAATAAATTGAGGTATGAAATGAAGCTTGAATTGGAGTCACGATCCTAGAGTGACCACACAATGAAGGATCAAGATAGTGGGTCAGGGTGCCTCAGAATGTCGCTTTTTTATTTAGAAAATCGTCCTCCAGGGGAATTACCCCTTATATAGCGACAGTGTGCCATGATATGATGTTTATGTCAGGAACTGCTTCATAATGATAAGCCCATCTTGACCGAGGGTCTCTAAGTCCGTCAACCAGCCGTCATTGTGATGGATCTGTGTTGACTAAGAGTCTCGAATTCAACATCAGTGCTCAGCCCCTGAATCTTGGTGCCAAGGAACCCACTCAGTTCAACACTGACCTCCCCCTCGAGTCCCGTCACGGTTCTACGAGACTGAAGGAAACTACAGTGGATACTCCCTGTTTCAGGTCCTTAGAGCGCTGTGTAGATTTTATTCCCTTTTTGCTTTCTCTCTCTCTGTACCTTACTTGGTGTGTGGTGGTGTAGCTGACGAGGTGGGAACTAGTAGGCCTTGAGACAATATTTGCCGATTATAGACTATAGTACCGACATACTCTATCTCGAGGGGGAATATGTGCGGTGTTTATACGGACCCGGCACCGTTGCGGTGGCGCAGAGCTATCAGCAAGGGCTGGCGATGAAGGAACTAGAGGATGTCGTGGAGGGCTACAAGAAGCTGATTATGCATATTCTTGAAGCTCGATTTCCCCAAGGAAATGCGCTTTGGTATAAGGCGGCTCCTAGGTCTCAGGCGGACAATTTCTTGAAAAAATAACGAGCGGCTAGGCAACATCGTGCCAACGTAAAGGTCCAGCCCTTCACTTCCCAATCCAAATCCAAACTTCCAGAGAAGAGCGGCGAGGCAACAATTAAGTTAGCATTAACGTAGATGAAGGAAGTTAGATTTAAAAATATATCAGAAATACCGTTAGTACGTTGCGCAAATGAGGACGAAAGTTGTATGTAGGACAGTAAGGAGTGGTACGGGCGTCCTAGACTCCTTCTTGGCTAAGGTAATTAATAAGGAGCTTCTGTTGGACAGCAACAGTTACAGGCTCGAATAGGCATAGACCAACCAGGTGACACTGCATCAATTGAGGCACAAGATGAAGCTTGAATTGACTGTCTTAACCATGCGTCATGTGTGTGTTGCTTGAAAGAACCGAGGGCTTCGGGACCCTCGCCAGACCCTGCTTTTGGGTGGGTGACGAGTCGTCCACGCTTACTGCATTGGGCAACAGTGCCCAGCGCCTGAATCCAGGTGCCAAGGAGCCAGTTCAGTTCAACAGCTTCCCCTAATACCGAACTCTTCCCTCTATATCTAGAATACACTTTCCTAGCACGTTAGGATTGTTTCGACCACCTCCCTACGAGCACTAGAGCTGGCCTTAGGCGCACCCTCGTCGAGACATCCTGGTCTCCCAGTAGCCTAATCTTTTAACCCAAAGCCCACGGCCATCGGCCTCTTCATCACGAGAGCGAGGCAAGGTTAGGACAGGTATATCGGTTGCATCCCTTAAGTCGCGTCAATCGACAGAGTAGCGCCTCGTAGCGGCCCGTTGCGTCCCTATAGCTGTCTCATTCCACCATCAATCCCCTCTTCTTCGTCCCGTATAACCACCAAGTCGGTTACGGCCACTGCCCGGGGATAACTGGGAAAGACATCAAGTACTACCAGCACCCAATACATACTTCCGACTTCACAGCGCTCAACGGGAAGGACAAATGGACGGCATATCGATTCACGAAGAACGTCCACGACAGATTGATGCCCAAGGCATTCCGAGAACATCTGCTCTACTATCAATCAGTCGCCATCGGATGACTTTGATGTCCCACCACTTTCTGAGGTACCGCTGAGCAGCAAGCGGTCACTCCAGACAGCCCATTCAGTGAGGTAGCAAAGAGGAGGAAAAGCCGGAAGCTGGCGGATGGATAGTTGGGTTTCCATTCCAGAATGAATTTATTTCGTGATGAAATGCCGCCTTGCGGCCCCGCCTCCGTCTTACCATGAATCCCTGGCCGCACGCACCTCTCCTTAGTTGATTGGAATTGTGTGTATACGGCATAGACGGATCGGTTCCACCCGCCAAATCGCTTTTAATCGACCCGGAAAGCACCCCGCACTCCACCACCAACGTCGGCGATGATTCTCGTAATGCCTCAACGAGGATGGGATTCCCGGATATAATGAAGATGAAGGCTTTTTGAGAAGCAAGAGGTCATCACGTCGTCGCCCTGGCTGGGCACATGCACCCCGCAATCAGACCTCACAATTGTAGCCAAATCTGGCCCTACTTGAACAGCGTGATACATTCCAGAAAAAAATGGACATATCCCAGCCCTCATCGTCCAAGATGTTTCGGCGACGATACGCCATATTGTCAAAGGAGGAGACCATCGACGATACAGGACCGGTGGCGGCGCGGCCTTCCCGCGATGGCGGTGAAGAAGACCAAACTCGTCCTAAACCCCACTTCTAGAGCTGTTACCGCAACCATTTCGGCGGCGCATTGCTGTTCAACATCGCCGACTTCATTCTGCCTGCCTTGTACGGCACGCTTGCCAAGCTCTGGTTCGCCGACAATGATCGGTTCCTTATCATTACCACGGACGTCTACACGTATAACGGTCATCCGCTATTTCCGGTTACGACAACCCCCAAATATACCCCATCCCAACATAGCGTAGTTGCATATATAGTGTATGAGCGCCGCCCCCTATACGCGTGAGGATTGTGATATGCCCATTTTATAGTGTAGCCTTATAGCCATACTCTGGTTGTACTGATTGGCCTGGATGGGATGACGGAACGGAAGGGATTGTGCCGGACCTGCCTTTGAGGACCGAGACGCGGGACGATTAGTTTGTAGCTGACATATTGTGATTCGATGACTGTTAATCCCAACATTTCGTCTGGCAGGTTAGATCCTTGCCTGATGCCCGTCCCAGGTCTCCAGCTGAGGATCGGCATGCCACAGGTTAATCGGTCGTGATTTCTAAGTCTAGTGCCTGTGTCCGCTCAAGTTCTCTGTTCGCTTCCTTGGTCTGGCTGATTTCTGACTTGAGACGACCTCAGGTCTACGTTTCTTTGCCAGCTGTGTGACTTGAAGGTTCCACGGCCCAGGCGTCGGTCGGCTCAATACTCCTACACACCTTCGTGCCTCCGATCAAGATCTTGTTTGTCGAGGAGGTGCCAATGGTCCCTAACCAAGGTTTGGACACTGCTGGGAATGGAGACCCAAAACGTTCACATATGCTACGTCAATGCCGACGCCACAGAGTTAAGTCCACGTCCCGTACCACCGGAACGGGTTGGGGCTGGGAGGGCAACTGACGAACAGCTTTGTCGTTCAGAGGAGAAGAGTGGATAGAAGATCGCGCGCCGGTCTTGCTGATCGGCACCGTGCGACTGAAACCGGCGACGATCCTGTCTCAGGCGCCCCGCCAATAGAGAGCCCGTCGAAGCTGCTCGACCGCAGCGCTGTATCACCCAGCGCCGGTGCATGTCGTCATAAGAACTGCAAGAAAGAGGATCGCATGGGTGAATTGTGTCTTGGGGTTTGGTGTTTGTCAACTGATGTCTCAGGTGCCGGTTCGACTTCAGCCAGAAGGGAACCCAGGTACGACTACCTAGGTACCTATCTCTTAGAGAAGAAAATGGGATGCTACCTGTAGATTCTGATTGTCTGTAAAGCCTGATCGGGCCTGACCTTCATTCTTCCCCACTTGTCACGCCAGACATGATGAAAAACAACATATCATGACGTAGGTGTTTTCCATCCAAATCATCCAGTATATAAAAAGAGCACAGTCCCAGCAGATCAAGTCTCCAACTATCAGCAACTATGGTATATGTCTACCTACCCGTCTTACATTACGCCTACCTAATACAAAAACTACTCACCGGTTCAGGGACTCACTCTGCGCGAACAAAGCTTGGGTATTCCCAGTTCATCCCGCTTTCACCAACCTTGCCCTGCCTTCGTTGATTTGACCCCGCCATGGACGAAGATGAACGCACGGCCGAGACCCTGGACCTCGCACAGTATGCCACTCATGGCTTCTGCCAGGGCTACCCTCTCAAGCGCCACCGATACGAAACCCTGGACAACGCCGGCTGCTACGAGGCCCGGAGAGACTGGGCTAAGTATATCGGACCTGCTCGCGAGTTTGGCGGGTGCAACCCTTTTGACGGGAATTTCACTTCTCTGGTGCTGCCACTGTGTAAGCCGGAGCGGTTGAAGCTGATTGCCTACATAATTGAGTGTAGGTTCCGCACTCGAGGGCAATAGTACAGAAGCTGACGGGACCAGATGCGTTCATCCACGACACCGTCGTGGAGGGGTTAGACTCGGAGAACGTGAGTGCCGGACCCCTCGATAGTCAAGATGTATTATCTAGCAGAGACAGTACTCTGACGGGTTGCTCAGTCCGCAGGCGATGACGAATTCACCCTGGGCAAGCGCCAAACAATGAGTGAAAAAATCAGAACGGGGAGGAAACAGCTCCAGGCCAAGATGATATGGGAGCTGAATGCCACCGACAAAGTCTGCGCCGCGAAAATCATGGACACTTGGAAGACGTTCCTGTCGACCACGATCCGGGACAAGGAAAAGGATTTTGCCGACCTCGAAGAGTACCTCGACTTCCGTAATGTCGACTGCGCAGCGTAGTGAGTCTAACCTTGGTTCAATCTCTCCTAATCAGGAATCCCCTCACCGCCACCGTTACTGATGTGGAATTAGTTGGGTCGAAGCCTGTATGCTCTTCGGCATGGGCATGACTCTCACCGAGGAAGAAGACGCCCTCTTCGCCGACATTAAACGCTGTTGCTTCGCCTCCCTAGCTCTGTCCAACGACTGGTTCTCCTTCGACCGCGAGTGGGCCGAGGCGCAGAACAGGCCCTCCGGTGCGAAGCTCATCAACGCCGTGTGGCTGTTCATGCGCTGGCGCGGGGTCAGCCCGAACGAGGCCAAGCAACTGGTCCGGGAAGCGACAAACCGGTACGAGCATCGCTTCTTGGAGCTGTGCGACGAGTTCCGGAGGGCACACCCGCAGCGGGAGGACCTGCACCGCTACCTGCGCGGACTGACATACCAGATCAGCGGGAACGTGGTGTGGAGCCTGCGCTGCCCAAGGTACTATCCGGAGTTTCGGTATGATCCGAACGCGGGGCTCGAAGATGCCATCAGTGCAGAGTGGAGAGCGAGGGAGAAGGCGGCAGCCAGCGCGGCCGGTGCTGGCGGGGACGATGCCGGGGCCGGTAGTGGGGCCTGTAGTGATGAGAAGCACCAAGGGCGGCGGACGCTGTCGGTATTTTCCACAGTATCGCGCCAGTCGGGCGACTCGGACGTGCACTCGACGGCGCCGTCGCACGGTAGTACCGTGTCTCGCTCATCGTCCATGTCTAGCGTCATGACGGCGCCGGATGACGCCCGTGGGGATGCCAAACCGGGCCTTTTGCTGCCGACTAGGGAATGTCTGGTACTCGAGGTAAGCATTTGGCGCCAAGAGGCAGGACATCGGTATGTTTTGCTAACAAGCTGACTCCGCAGCATCTCGAGGCACCGTTCGATTACGTCCGGTCTCTGCCCTCAAAGGGAGTGCGGGACACGCTCGCCGACGCACTGAATCTCTGGGCGTGTCTGCCGGAGGACACGCTGATACAGATCAAGGAGGTGGTTGGTGACCTACATACTGCTTCATTGATGTATGCGTGCACCTTTTCTCAATACAACCTGGTGTGACCGCAGCTGATGATATCCCCTATGCAGGCTCGATGACATTGAGGACGGGTCAGAACTCAGACGGGGCTTTCCTACGGCTCATGGCGTCTTTGGTGTCCCGCAGACCATCAACTCGGCTAGCTTTGCTATTGTCGAGGCCATGAGAAAGGCACACAAGTTGTCGGAATGCGTACCTGGTGCTACTGACATTGCCTTTGGTGAGTTTATTTCAAGATGACGCTACTTGAGTATGACTGCTGACTCCTGCTTCTTCTAGAGCAACTGCGTGACCTTCATATTGGGCAGAGCTACGATCTGTATTGGACTCGCCATATATCGTGTCCAACAGAGGAGGAATATCTAGAAATGGTCTCGAAGAGTATGTTTCCATATAGCTTTGCTGGTATAATTCAATGCTAATGATTGGGGACTCGAATAGAGACCGGCGGCTTGTTTCGGTTACTCTCTCGGCTGATGTGCAGTCGTCTGCCCTTGGAGTAAGTGACCACCTTCCCTGGACATAAGACAGCTATGTGCGAACAAGTGCTGATCAAGTTCATTTGCTTAAAGAGTATCTTCCGTAATCGACAATTTGGTAGATAAGGTCGGCATCTATTTCCAGATCCGAGACGACTACGAGAATCTCAATTCGGACGAGGCAAGTTTTTGGATTTCAGATTATCAAGTAGTGTATCAGCCTACTAACTTTGATGCAGTACACAAAACAAAAGGGGTTCTGTGAAGATCTGGACGAGGGCAAGCTCTCGTTCCCCCTTGTCCACCACCTCAACAACGCCCCGCATCATATGGCACTGCAAGTCCGTGAGATTCTGGAACAGCGGCGCGAGTCGGTCGCGGGTTGCATAAGCGATTCACACAAAAAGCTGGTGCTGCAGCGTCTCAAGGACTCCAAGAGCTTTGAGTATACACGGCAAACGCTTAAAGCGCTCGAGTCGCAGATTGATCGCTCGATTAGAGAATTGGAGCGATTGACAAGTTGGGAAAACTGGATGCTCCGGCTCTGCATGCAGCGGCTCAGCGTCCAATAAGCACGGGCTGCAGATTGAGAGCCCAACCGGACTCTTCCTCGAGAAGTAATTCACAGATTTCGAAGCCTTTGTTGTCCTCAACCCAAGTCTCATCAAATTGCCAATCTACATCCGGCAGTGTTCCAACGCCGCTCGCACAATGACAGTGTCTTTCACCTCCCTCCCATTAGAGATCAAGGAAGACATATAGCCGCTCGCCCTTCACGCCGCCGTTGGAGAGCCCGAGGATAGAGCTAAGCGAATTTAAGGGGCGACCGAGTGCTGGGCAACGAGCTACTTATTGGTTCTAGACGGGTCCGACCCAGTTGCGAAAAAGAGAGGGCTAAGGAAGTATCTTTATTCATCACCACCTTTCAATCAATCACTTCTGGGTCGCTCACGAGGGATCAAAACCTACTATTGTAAGCTCTCATCTGAGTGATAACCGTGGATACGTGGCTGTTAGTCATTCCAACAGGATGAAAACCTGTTGTTAGGAATGGTCGTTCAATCTAACCATATGTCAACCGAGGTCGGGCACCATAATAGTTATTTGACATGTAGTCTGGCTCGCCATTAACCAGGTGAAGCCCATTGTCCCGACATCCTCCGAGGTGCGTGATTTACTTACTCCTTAAGAATTCTTCACCCAAGCGAGGAAGATACCCCCGCTTTGAGACGAGTTTCTGCTTCCGCAGCAGAGATGCGGCGACTAGGTTCCCAAGCAACCATGTCATGCATCAGAAGCGTCAGCTCATCCCGCTGCGATACCGAGAGGTAAAGGGCCGATTTAACGATGCGCTCCTCGGGACCCGACTGTGTCGGCTGCTTGTCGTCAAATCACCAGTCTGGCTTGGGGAAAGCAGCCGGCGTTTCTCCAGGCTTTGCACATCGTCCCCATCGTGCTCGTTCGCAGATCGCTCCGCCAACAACAGCCGGCAACCGTTGTTCGAGCCGCCTGGTCCGCTGCCGACGCCCGCCATCCCCATCCCCAGATCGTCTCCGCCTACATAAGCCGCCAGGCCCTCGAAACTACTTCTCATACGGATTCGACTGGTGAGCCGAAGCCGCCGAGGATCGGGCTTTTGCGGCCATCGCGATCAGGGCTGATCACAAGAGAGGACCGGAACGATAGCACTGTGCCGTACTTGCTCCAGACGAATTTTCCCTTCCAGTGCTTGGGGATCGGGCCGTGATGCAGGACTACAAGAGAAGAGAGATAGACGAAAAACTGGAAGCCGACCTGGAAGATGTATGTGTTGGTATACGTGAAAAAGACGATAGCTGCAAGCTGCCAGACGTCGGACTTGGTCGAAGCTGGATAGCTCGATAACAGTTCGGTTTAGGAAATCGCTTCAGGGCGGGTTGGCGCGCGTTTTCGGACGTCGTACAGCCTACGCCGGCCCCCTCGCGCACACCATCTACCAGTATGTGAGACGGGACGCCAAAGTCGGCGGTCTTGAAACTCACATCTCCAGCAGCGGCCCGGTCTTCCAAACCGCGAGACAGCCACAGCACGAAAACGCCGTCCAACGATGCTGCAAATCCATGTCGATCCGTCCGGCGCCGATGCGACGGCGGTGCAGGCCACCACGGAGGGAGCCAAAGAAGCTGAAGCGTCAGCCACCACATCACACGTTCTATCTCCAGCCCTGCTTGTCGAACCTCTAGCTAGAGAGCCACCCGCGCCCGAATCTGAAGGGCAACAGTTCCCAGCGCTTTCCGTATCCCAGACTCTCTGGAACGCCGCGTACGGCAGCCTCGAGGAGGACGCAGACACCGCAGAACTTGTCAGGTCATACGTGAAAATCCTGATGATAGCGTCGGACATCGATTGTAGCACCGACCTATCGGCCGAAATTAAAGACCCGATCCAGCGACAGGTACACATGAGCGAGCTGTTGGGGAAAGGTCAGGCGAATATTTCTACGCCGTCGAAGATTACCAAGGGAGTCGGCGATGTAGCCCAGTTTATTCTCTCGGCGAAGCCAATTATCGATGCAGCTATCCAGAACATTCCGCAGGCTGCGCTTCCCTGGGCTGGTGTTTGTGTCGCATTGCAGGCAAGTCGGCCCATTGCAAGGCCCGGCTCTGTCCACTGACCTCTGTCTAGATCCTCCTGAATCCTGCGAAAGAAGATCTAACCTTGCCGGCATCATACACGTCGTCTCCGGAATAGATTGGTATTGCGCCCTGTCCGAACATCTCTTGAAAAAGGATCACGTCGACGAGTCTCTTGAGTGGATCCCGCCCCTGCTGCAAGCGAGGGTTATCGCGCTCTACAAGGCTCTCCTCCTATACCAGATAAAAAGTGTCTGCTCCTACTACCGACACCAGGGTGTCGTCTTTCTCCGCGCCCTTGTGAATTGGGACCATTGGGACAGCTGCTTGGACGCTGGCCAGGACGCGGAAAAATTCCTTAACGACTGGGGCCAGTTCGATGAAATCAAAGCGGGGAGCCTTCGGCGCGAACTCCCCGAGCGTGCCAAACAAATGGCGGAGCTACTGGAAGCCATCGGTCAAGACATTCGAGACTTTATCGCGCTGCAGAAGGAGATGCGGAGGGACGACTAGGACGTAGAATGCCTCCGAAGCCTCTTCGCGGTGGATCCGCAAGATGATATGAAGAAGATTGAGCAGAATAAGGATGCGCTTTTGGATGGGGCCTATAAGTGCATCCTCGATACAGAGGTATACGCAGCATTCACGAGTTGGAGCGAAAATGGCTCTGCCCTTCCGTCGTGTCGCCTGCTGTGGGTTAAGGGTCATGCTGGAACCGGGAAGACGATGCTCATAATGGGCATTATTCGCGAACTCTCGAGTCGATCCGCCAAGCTTGCACCCTGCGTGTCACACTTTTTCTGTCAGGGCACAGACACGGCCTTGAACAGCGCAACGGCCACCCTAAGGTCTCTGATCTGGTTGCTGCTTGTTCAGCAACCGCATCTTATCTCCCACCTACGATCGAAGCATAAGAACGCAGGTTCTTCTCTTTTCCAAGGCGACACTACATTTATTGCTCTGTCTAATGCCTTCGAGAGCATGCTGAAAGACCCTGACTTATCCCCGATGTATTTCGTCATTGACGCTCTTGACGAGTGCCAGCAAGACCCCGCAGACCTTATCAAACTCATCACATCTTCCCTTGCTCTTTCCGACAAAGTGAAGTGGCTGGTCTCGAGCCGTCCAACCGTCGAACTCAAGACTCCGGATACGGCAGGTTCCTTGGTGGAGCTAGATGCTCAACAGCTGGAAGGTCCCGTCAATGCATACATCGACCACAAGCTCTCTATCCTCAAGACAAGAGAGAGATATGATGACTGCGTTTTGGCGAGGGTCGCGGTGGAAGTTCGCCAACGAGCCGAGAACACGTTTCTTTGGGTGGTGTTGGGCAGCCAACAGTTACATGCTCGAGTAAGCTTAGATCAACCAAGTGGTATTGAATAGATTGAGGTATGAAATGAAGCTTGAATTGGAGTCACGATTCCAGAGTGACCACACAAATGAAGGATCAAGATAGTGGGTTAGGGTGCCTCAGAATGTCCCTTTTCTTTTTTGGAACAAATTGTCCTCTCTAATCCTCCCAGGGGAATTACCCCCCGTATATAGAGACAGTGTGCGATGATATGACGTTTATGTCAGAAACTGCGTCATTGTGATGGATCTGTGTTGACTGAGAGTCTCGCATTGAACATCATTGCTCAGTCCGTGAATCTTGGTGCCAAGGAACCCACTCAGTTCAACAGGTGGCTCTCGCGTTCAAAGCACTCGACGCAGAAGATAGGACTCTCAGCTACGTGCATGGAACGTACGCTGTCGATATCATCAAAGAGATCCCTCCTGGCTTGTCGCAGCTATATAATCATATGATGGCCAGGATCGAGAAAGGGATGAGAAGAGACCCGCAATACTGTGAGGGCGTCCTGGCGGTTGCTACCTCGCACTCCGCCCTCTCAGCCTCTCCGAGTTAGCAGTACTCGCTGATATACCACCCAAGATGGACCCGCGGACGATAGTGAGGAATGCGGCTCACTTCTGACGACCAGGGAGGAAACGGTCTCCCTGATCCACTAGACGTAGACGTCTAGAGGTCAGTTAGTAAACTCAGGGGTAAACTTCAGTCACTTACTCGCATTATCGCCTCGAGATTCTCTTACCAAAGACAAGCAACCTTATATCTGGCCATTGCTTCAGCCTTTGTCAATGGAATTATATTTTGTGCACGCCGCTTGCGCATTCGATGATGGTGGAGAACTCCGCGTACTGTCGATCGAGACATCCGAGCATCAACTGTATTGGTGAGCAGTTGTGTTGTGAGACATGGCTTCCGCTTTGCAAGTTGGATGATGTACCGCTTCTCCCGACGTGTAAGAATTCTTGGCCGGCCAGTTCTAGGCTTGGATTCAAAGGTGGTAGAAGATTCGAAGCGTTGAAGTGACAGTTGGACTGCACGACGGCTGATGGAAAACGCGTTGGCAACAGCCGTCTGGCTAGCCCCCGCTGCACGGCACCAGCAATGGCTGCACGTGCAGCGGGTGATCGCTTTTGGCCTGGTTGACGGCCGACCGTCAATTTGGCACCAAGCTCGGCCAAATTGAACATGGTGGGCTGCAGTTCTGTTGGTTGGAATATTGATCATGGGAGGTTGGATGTGGCGACGCGCGTTTAATCACTGTAATGTGGGGTGCTCCAGACTTTTCGACACGTACTGTAGCGAAAGAGCCCGTCATTGTCGTCAGATCTCGCATTGTAGGTGTCATTCCGCCCACCTTGAAGAGTCGGAAAAATTAGACAAGGTAGTTACTATACTGATGTTTAGAGTATGGTCACTAGGCAACTTGTTGAGGATCTGAAGTCCATCTACATGTAGGACAACGATATTGGAGTTAGCCAATAAGATCATGTAAGATTTTAACACTTATAAGATAGCCTAAGGCCAATCACCACCCATTAGTGCACCGCCGAGGGCTGTGGAGGCCCCAGCCGTCCCAATCAGGCGGCCTGGATCGGATCTCCTAGACTTAGAGGGGTAAAAGAGAATGCCTGCCCTTTTATGGGGGTACTACTGCGACACCCGGAAGGCGGAAGAAAAATGCCTGCCTTTCTATGGGGATCGCACCACCACGACACCTCGAAAGGGTAAAGAAATGCCTGCCCTTTCATGGGGGCACCACACTACAAGATCTTGCAGGTCCAGTCTTTCGGCGGGGAAAACGGAGAAATGTTTCAATGTGTTGATAGCAGTAACACATCTTGGTTATAGTGTTTGCGTAACCAATTACCTTGAAATCAGGGGCATGCGAGGCTTGTGAAGTTGGTTAGGCGGTTATGGTTAGTGTGGTTCCGGCGACAGAAATCACCGTGCAGATGTTGGACAGCAACAGTTACAGGCTCGAATAGGCATAGACCAACCAGGTGACACTGCATCAATTGAGGCACAAGATGAAGCTTGAATTGGCTGTCTGAACCATGCGTCATGTGTGTGTGTTGCTTGAAAGAACCGAGGACTTCGGGACCCTCGCCAGACCCTGCTTTGGGTGGGTGACGAGTCTTCCACGCTTACTGCATTGGGCAACCGTGCCCAGCCCCTGAATCCAGGTGCCAAGGAGCCAGTTCAGTTCAACAGCAGACGCCTCAAGGTAACACGCATCAAAGTGGGCAGGGCTATAAGGGTGCCAGTGGCTGAGCGAGCGGAACTTGCGTGCCCGACTCAGTTGGTTGCAGTCGGCATCGGCCTGATTAGTTCACGGTACAGAGAAGAGTGGGTTGGATTAGGTGTGAGGAGGACATGTTTTTCGGAAGTATTCCGCGAGAGCTGGAGCCTGTGTAAAGCAATGTCAGGACCTCGAGGGCTGGTCTTCTCTGTGGCTGGCATGATCTCGTTGGGGTCTGGTGAGGCTCTTACAAGTCCTGTTGTATGTGACCAGCGTGAAAACAATGATTCGCCCTACTTATGCTGCACGTATTTCTGTACCTGAATGGAGATACTCCAATATTTTCGCCAGCTCTCATATGATTCGTTTGGCTTAGAATTACCGACTGATATCACCAGCGCTTGAGTACAAGCGCTCGGATTCCAGGCCGAGTCCCTTTTCGTGTTCTGATAGCGGCGCCGTCTTGTCAGCGCGAGCGACGTGGTCAGACTGTTGGGCGGATTAGCAGCTCATGGGTATGTGGAGAGAGACCTTTTTGGATTTAAATGATTACCTGTTCCGGTCCCGCACCGTAAATGATGTTGTGCGCAGCCTTGGGGATGGCATCGTCAGATGGTCCGTCACCGTAGCGAGGCATGTTGGTTGAGTTGGGCTTGAAGATGTCTTATTTGTGTTGACTGCGGTGTTGGATGTTGAAGATTGGTACTGGATGGTTCGAGTTTGGTATTGTTGTTGAAGTCGAATGATAAGGTGAAAGCAGGGGTTAGAGGGCGAGATGTACTCTTAACAATTTGCTTGGTCGTCTTCTCTGGCATCATCGAGACTAGAGTATTAACTTTGACTGTGCGCAGCATCGCGATCCTAACATCATGTGATAGACCCGATGGCGTAGAAAGTCGTCACGGTTAGTTTTCGCCAAGAAGCTTCATGAGCGATTCCGTGTTGCTACGATACGAAGCTTCCACATGACGTCGGCCTGTGGCATACTCGGCCGCTCGAACAAGCCCTTCCTTCTCTTACGGGGTTGATACCCGGGATTGCGAGTGGGCTGCCGGCCCACTCTGAGATACGCGGAACCGGTTTACGGGCACTGGGGCGTAAGAACCTGTCAGAAGCGCTGCACGCTGGATTCGGTGGATTCGAACAAGAAAGAGGAGACTTGGTAGAGTGAGGCAAGAAAGGAGGATTGCCCCGTCTTGACTGTATTGCTTGTATGTCTCTCCGTCTGTGTTAGTGGTTCTTAGGCATATTTCCAGTGGCAAATCTATTCGTAAGTCTTTGTTGTTCAATCTGGCTGAGCTGGCAGAGTGGCCACATTCAGGTCTGATCAGGCCCGGTCAGCTTCGGTCAATCCCCGCCACATGTATGACTTGAACCCCGGCCTCTTTCTTGAACCCCCGTTGCTGGTCCTCGCGGTAGATGAGCGCCTCAGGAATGGGGGTGCCGCTCTCGTCTTCCCCTCACCGGAAAGCGCTAGGTATTAACGGCAGTTCTTATGACAACCAGAGTACCCCCGGAGTATCCTTGGGTCATAAGTGGCTTGGTATGCTTGGCGCCAGAGTTCGTCCTTGCACACTGATCTGTTCTTAAAATTGCCCCGCCAGATATTAATAGAAGGTGTTGGATCTCTGCTGCATATTCATATTCTCACAAGAACTGCTCATATATGCCTTGCATAAGTTAGTGTGCACAAAGACATGGCGTCGTATTTGGAAGGCTATTTGCACGAAAAGTGAACTTCCATTTCCGTTCATATTCATTAGATAGACTTTTCTTATGCTTAGCATAGGCTATAGTTGGTCTAGATCATTGCGGCGGATCGCTGTCTAAACATGGTGCAAAGCTGGAAGTATCTTCGGTATACTAAGATGCATGGAGGCTTTGCGGTTGTTGAGGGTTTCCTATGTTATTGAAATGGCTAGACACTTGCGAATGAGCTAGGGAGGGAAGACGTAGTGGAGCTGAAAATGGCCTGAAGCTTCCTAGATTCTATTCCTATACTCTGGATACCAACTCTTCTAGGGCTCTTGATCTATATGGTAATACTGCTATAGCTGAGAAAATACTGTCCTACGAGTTTGGAAAGTATGGATTCAAGCGTGCTTCGGATTCGCGGTCAGTGTGGTACTGATACGAGATGCGGCGTCTTGACAATACAGTAGAGCATACAACGCAGCCTTGATCCTTCTGCTTGCCGTGTATGACACCGGCTCACTACCTATATACCATAGAAAGCAGAAGGATCCGTTAGCCAAACAAGGCGCCGTGCGGACCCGGGTCAGATTTCTGCATGTCCCAATACACTGAACTGGATATCGGCCCTTCCAGCGCAACCTTAAAGTCAATCCTGGCCATGTCCGCGGGCGAAGGTGCCTCGCCAGCTCTGACGACGCGCCGCAGCTTTTCGTTGAGCGCCTCGCCTAGCTTGGTGCACGTCACTGTCCAGTCGCGATCGTCGTGGCTAACCTGGCAGACGATGCCCGTCGCGTTAGCCCTGGCCGGGGATACGCCACCTTGGTCACTCCACCCATTGTCGGAGACAAGATGCAACCGCTGCAGAGACGGCGGCTCGGTGGTCGAGCGCTCACGCATGTAGCGCAAGAGAGATTCGGCGGATGCTGCGGTGACATGTGGAGGTGCCGGGGCGTCGACGTCGCTCCGGGGAACGGCCAAGGCGGTGTTGAATTTGACCGACCGTAGGCGCGGAAAACCAGCTACTATGTCTAGCGTGGGGTACGACCAGTCGTTGCCGTCGGCGGCAAGGTGAATGCTGAGATGTTCGAGCCGTGGGAGTCCGTCTCGGAGCTCCGTGAGGGCTTGAATGCCGGCTATGCCCTCGGTCCATCGAGATTCAGGCGGCCCAGGGCAGTAAGGCACGGGACAGACAAGTTCTAGACTGCGCAGACGGGATCCGTGTCTAATGATGGGGGTAGTGCTGAGAGACGCAAAGTTGGGCACCGTGATGGAGTCGAGCATGGAGGGGATGGTCTCCAAGAAGTGTATCATGGCTCGTTCGTCGTGCTTGTAGATAGTCGGGAACTCGTGAGTCGAGCAAAGGTCAACTTCATGCAGCGCCGTCAGCTGCTGCGCGATCCGGTGTGCTAGCGAGCCCTTAGGTTCAACCAGTCGGCGTAGATGGGACCAGTCACAATGGCTGGCCCAGTAGTCTTGCTCGACTTCATCTTTCTTGCCGGGATACCCTTTGACACCCCATGGGAAGCCAGAACTCCCATCACGGCCCCAGGGGTATTCGAGGAGAACGAGTTCCTCGAATGGAGGCAACTGCTCATCGCCCACCAGACCAAGGCCGCAGTACTCGACGCAAGGTTCATACCGTAGGCAGCCCTCGCGCTGCCTGTAAATGTCAAGGGAGAGCTTGCGCAGGTTGAGACATGATAATAAAAGTTGTTTCAATGGCCGAGTCGTCTGTATGCATTGCTTGGCGGGGATGTACTGGATGTCGGCCCGAAGTGAATAAAGATTCGGGCTGCCTGTCAGATTGGTGAATTCGCGGGCTACAATGGCTGCGGTCTGCTCATTGAAGGTCGTGACAGAAAAATGAAGTCGGACTCGAGTACGCCCTTTCAGATTCTCGAGTAGTGATGCGGGGACGGGGTAGCAGAATGCGTCCAAGTGGATATCAAGGAGGCCAGTCATCTGGTCGATCAGGCCGTACAGAGGCGTCGGAAACTGGTAGCCCTTCTGCTCGGTGTCGGCGAGCTCGACAAACCGAAGGGAGCGGATGGCGGGCAACAAGCCGTTGGAGGAGAGGTATTTCAGGAAGGCAATCTCATTCTTGGCCTTGCTCAACTTGAGACTGATGGCGACGTGCCGGTGTTGGACGTAGCGGGCCTTGGTGTAGACGAGCGAGCTCGCCGAAGCCAGGACAACGACGGTTCCGGGGCTGATATCTTGCACGTGTTGGATGATCAACATGATGATCTCATCAGGTAGGTCGCACAACGACCGTCGTCCTGGGTCTGCCGGCTTGGGCTTGCGCGCGGTGATGGTCGAGGCAGAGCGCCAGGGTCGCCCGGCACCAATGCCGAGGACTTTGAAAAGCGAGCGTCCCGGAGCCATGGTTGTCCGTCTTCACAATCAGTGGTTGTTTTGGATCTCTCTGCAGCAGGACTGGGATTGGGTGGAAATGAGCAGCGGCAAGTCCTGCGGGCATGGCGGCCCTGGAAAGTTACAGTAGGTTTGTTAGTCTGGTTCTTCAGACAGGGGTCCTGGTCATTTTTCAAAACATGACCAAAAAATATCCAAGAGCGCCAGAAAAAAGCAGAAAAATGGACCGAGAGTACAGTAAGACTGTTTTTTCTATGTAAAAATTGGCTATTTGTCTGTAAAGTTGTGTGTTTTCCTTTGGCGTGTGGTGGGCTAACGAACTTACTAGAGTTGGATTGTATAATTGTAACCCAACCCTGCCATCCGCCTGCCGCTAAACCTCTTAGCGGTACATACGGGGTACGGTATGCACGAATTGGCACCCCACCTGGATTTATACAAGAGTTTCTGCGGGCGCAAAAGGCTTCCTCCGGTCCACCCTCCCACCTTCTCAGGCCTCAGAAAAAGCCCAAAAATTCAACACGTTTCAAGTTATTCGAATTTATACCTCTCAGGCTGCCAGCGGTTTATATTAGCTCGGTCTTTACCATCCGCCACAGTTGGCAATAATTATTCCTCCCGAACGCAAGTGCCGGAATGTTAGATTTGGCTTTTATCCATGACCTCCAAATACAATGAATTGGTCGCCTATCTATCTCTAGTTACTTGATAGGTATATTTTACAGGCGCTTGGTCTCGCCCGTTCTTCACGGCCAAGTCCCGTCCGCTCAAACGCAAACGCAAACATTAAACCCGTTCGAATCGCTTGCCGGCTGGCATGCCATGGTCTGACCCGACGAACACTGGTACCAATCGTTGCAGGTGGTCACACTTTGGCACAGAGTGCCGTGCGGCGGCACCGGCTTGTTACCCATACACCGGCACGTGGGGAACGGATCGTTATTGTTGTGGCCTGCAAGCAACCGGGCGACTGGCCGCTCGGGCACGTTTTGGACGCACACTCGGCGTTGTTGTTGCACCTGGCCCCGAGCGTCGACGACGGGGCGGGGGCCTGGGAGGTGGTGGTCGAGGCTAGGGACGTGTACGCCGCCTCCTCGACGGACCACCAGCTCAGCGCGTCGTTGTACACGCTCGTAGCCAGGGCTCCGGCCGGATCCACCGTCGGATACGTGTCGCCCATCGCCGTCATCGTCACCGCTTCGGATTCCGTCTTGGTGGTTGTGCTCGTGCTCGTCGTCGCCGTGCCGCAGCTTGTCGTCACGCACTTTGTCGTCGAGCAGGTTCCCGTGATGGTGGTGGTGAGCGCTACCGTCTTGGAGCACAGCACACCGTACTGCGTGACCTTCTTGTTGGCGTCGCAGCCGCAGTCACTACCCTCACAGTCTTTAGGACCGTCCTTGGGACAGTCCGGCCCGTTGCATCCTCCGCCACCCTAGCAAACGCGTATTGTCAACGTCACGAAGAGGAGAAAAACAAGGGTGAGAACGTGAAACTTACTCCACCGCCAGGGGGATTGGGTTTGCAGCCAAGGCCACAACCACAGCCAGCGGGGCCATCTGCGTCAGTGGGAGTCAGTAAGGATCCGACGGTCGAACAGGACAGGATTCGAACTTACAGCCACTACCACCACCACCACCGCCCCCACCCCAAGTGCCTCCGCATCCGCCGAGTCCGCAACCTCCGCCTCCACAACCGAAGATGCCACATTGTTGGATTTGGCAGGTGGTCAGAGAGGGCAGTTCAGGGGTGACTAATGGCTTGGCACCAGGATTCTCAGGATCAGGAACAGGCAGGGAACTTCTGGAAGAACACAGACAGGAACATCATCATCAATTGAGCGGTTGCCCATCTTTTCGGTACCCAATTACTACGGTGCGGCACATTCGTGGCTGTTGGCTTTCCAACAGCATGCCCCGCGGTTCCTCACCCAGCACCTCTTGGTCCAACTGAAAATTCTCTTCGTGCCGTATACTGCCCCAGAGTAGTTGTAAGTTGCTAACACCAGACACAGCCGCCTCATCGGCCCCTTGTGTAAGCCGAATACAGAGCCGAACAAAATGAGATGGATAACTGAGCCTGACCCGCTCTCCAACCAGCTCTAAAACAGCATTATCAACTCGTCGAAAGGCGTTACTTAAATAATTAGCCATCCTCTTAGTTAAAGGAAATAAAACTCACACAATAGTCTCCGCATCTGTTGAATAAAGGAGGAGAAGGAGTGGTGACAGCTTCGAGAGTAGTATCCACTGTTTGCCAATCCGCCGGCGCTCTAGTATTGTGCATCGTTGTAACTTGCCCTCCAGAGCGTTCTGGTAAATGGTAATAGCGACACTATTGTCGCTGATGCCTCGCTTCCGACTATGTATCTCATATGCTCTCTCCTTTCTAATCGTCTCTCTCAAGGTATCGAAGACTCGTACTAACTGTATATATGCGAGCCACTGAAAGACGCCATGTGTTGTGGAAATGACCTTTTCGACAGCTTGGAATGCAAGAGTGAAGCGTGAATCTCGGCTTGAAGTCTCGAGGGGAAATGTAGTTTGAGAGAGTATGTGATGGGCTGAGCCCATGATGGCCTCGGCAACCCTCGGCCGTGGTATCATGATAACGTCATCCTGAAGCAGGCAGTGTCTGTGTGTTCCGGAGCATATAAGAGCTGCCCTCTATTCCTGTCATCTAGTTCTCTCTTTTCTTCTTCTCTCTCCATTCGAGGCAAACTCGTAGAGTCGTCACCAGCTAGTTGCAATATACTCCCGGGACCGTTACAGAGTAAGGATACCCAGTTATGCCAGATGCTGGCACAGTCCAAAGCGAAAAGTTCTATTGTCGTATGTGGAGCGAGCTCATGTGAAAGTCGTTGTGCTCTGATTCCCCTCTCATCCTCAACCTTGGGAGCAGTGTTGATATCCATCTTCTAGGAAAGAGGAAGGCCGGGTTTATTCCTGGTGCTCAATTATAGAACTTTCACACTATTAGCACGGCTTATAAAGAAATTGAACCCGCAAATGGTCACAAGAGTCGACAGATCCACAGGCGGTATTTCGGCGCTGTTACACAGGCCGGTACATGGAATGATGACTCGTTGAAACAGGCGGCGGCACTACGACTTGCGGCACGGCGGGCCGATGGCACAGCGACCGCTGATATCGACCCGTAGCATGACCAGATTATAGTAAAATAACCTAAAAATGATACTCAATTCAACAGTGAGAATCTGGGTTCCCGTGGCACGGTGATGCGCCGCCCGCATTCCGGGTTCACGGATCATTGTCCGCCAGCCTGGGTCGACGCCGCGATCTCGGATCGGTATATAATCCCAGGGATTGTATTATAAGCCCTCCTCCCATCGTCTTTTAAAGACGGGCATAATATACGACCCTATAGTTATCGAGACGAACGTACCACAATGGACCTGGTCCCCGATTTATTTTGTTCCCGCAGATGACCTTGACCACCAGCACGAGACTCTGTTCCAAGACAAAACCCTAAGGAGACACGACGGCCTCAGCAGAGCGACGAGTTCACTATTGATCCAGATTCGAACCGGGGCCATAGGCCTTCGGGCTTTCTTATTCGAAAGGAGAGTCCCAGAGGTACTGACGCCTATATGCGAGTGTGGAGAGGGGCGAGAGACTGTCGAACACCTTGTGATGTGGTGTTTGGCCCCAACGTTGACTCGAAGATGGGAGAGAGCCGAGGTCAGAACGCGAAGGGACTTTTATTCTGTTCTACAGGGAATCAGTCCCAAAGCTGCACGGCTAACGGGGAGGATCCTGGACTGGCTGATGGACTCGGGGAAACTGCCGATGTACGGTCTGGCCAGGAGGCTGGAGCTGGAGCTCGCAGTCTGATACCCTTTCCTTCGAAGGCCAAGAGGCCTTCCCACTTTGTATTTGCAGGATCGCACACTGATCGTTTCCTTGATTGTCGATATGGGTTTTTCACCCGGCCGACGATGTAACGGTCCCAGGAGTATATTGCAACTAGCTGGTGACGACTCTACGAGTTTGCCTCGAATGGAGAAAGAAGAAGAAAAGAGAGAACTAGATGACAGGAAGAGAGGGCAGCTCTTATATGCTCCGAAACACACAGACACTGCCTGCTTCAGGATGACGTTATCATGATACCACGGCCGAGGGTTGCCGAGGCCATCATGGGCTCAGCCCATCACATTACCCCCCCACTCAAGGCACAAACCCCCTCCTAGAGACCTTTCCCAGCGTATCGCCAGACCTCCTACCACTAGGGAGCCACGTGTTCCCGCCCATGCAGGGGTCGAACCTGCTTATGGACCCAGGCCAACACGAGATCTGTGCAGGCACTCTTCGCTCGCCGGCGAACCCTGGCCACTGCCACAGACTTACTCTACTGCGCAATTATGTCGCATCCTAGCCGGTCCCGAATTCAGCCCTGAGATGTCCTGCCTCCAGGTGCCCGGCTTGTCCTCGGGGAATGGTTGTGTCGTGGGCGTCTTGTCGTAAGTCGTCACCCATCTTCAGACTACCCTTCATCATCTCCATTCTCTCCATCCGTCAGCGCCGTGAAGTAATCGTGAGAAGGACTGCTCGGGGTTCTGGCGGTCTTGGTAACAACGGGACGTCCGACAGAGGTGTTAGCTCAGACGCGGTTGACATCGATGTCCATCGGATCGTCGTTGAGTTGTCGATCTGCCACAGTGCTGGCAGTGTCAGAGGTGCTGACGAACGCACTCTCCTGGCGCCGGAGGAAGGCTGTGAACTGGGTGTGTGTCTCGGGCCAGTCCTTGCCCTCGAGTCGATCTTGGGTCTCCCGATTCAAGCTGACGACAAGCAGCGTAATGCGGGCCTCGTCTGGCCATTGGTCTGCTCGGGCTTCGAAGAGTTTACGTTCAAACTCAGGGATGTATGCCGCAATCGACCTCTTCCCCTGGCGCATCCTGGTCAAGCGTTGACCAGCTTTCTTAACCTTGTTCGGATCTTCGAAGGTGCTCTGCACATGCGCGACAGATGCATCGGCGGCACAGGGTGTTGGCTTCTTGTGCCCTCTTGACGTACGGAAGCATTGTCCGCTTCAGGCGGGGTGCGAGGTGTGAGTATACCTAATGGAAGCATGCATACTCATCACCAAGCGCAGCTCCATCAATGCGCAATTTTCGCACGCATCGAGACGAGCCACTCGTCGAGGTCCACGGTTCCCTGGAGGAGCTCCACGTCGGGGAGCACTTGACGTCGTTGAGGGACAATCGACTTGGTGGAGGAAGAATTGAAGGTCAGAGAAAGCGCTTCTATTCCGACGGACCGATCGGGAAAAATTGATAGAAGGATTCGAGGCAAAATGTAACGGTCCCAGGAGTATATTGCAACTAGCTGGTGACGACTCTACGAGTTTGCCTCGAATGGAGAAAGAAGAAGAAAAGAGAGAACTAGATGACAGGAAGAGAGGGCAGCTCTTATATGCTCCGAAACACACAGACACTTCCTGCTTCAGGATGACGTTATCATGATACCACGGCCGAGGGTTGCCGAGGCCATCATGGGCTCAGCCCATCACAGACGAGGGCGCGGTTTTCCTGTATAGTAAGTTGTTGAAGGTCCGGCACGCCCAAGGGCACAGCTGTGTAGGAATAATAATATTATGTACAAGTAGTGATGAAACTATACTCCTCTAGTGCGTTTAAAGGCTTCTGAATAGCTTCAAATCGCGCTTAGTTGTGTGATAACTGCCGAGGTAGTGGTGTGGAGAGGAGTGAACCTTTGTACCTGCTATTGCAAAGAAATAGCCGACGAGCAGTAATGGATTCTCACTGTCTAGGTAGGGACGATATGTAAAAGGGGCAACCGTCATGGGGCCGTTGCTCAGAGGCCACGAAAAAAGGGGGAGGCTGCCCATAAAGGGGGTTCTCAACGCGGGTTAGGGTTGGACGAGGGTTGCCGAGGCTCAGCCTGCCACAGGTGTGGCGGAATTCAGGGGGTCTGTGCGGACCCCGTACAATTAGGTCGGCGACCCCGTACAATTTAGAGATACTCAAATCTTTAGTCACTACCCCTCCACATTGACCAAAGCATCAAAAATGCAGCTCTCCCTTGCCCTCACCCTCCTAACCGCCGCCCTCGGCACGACCAACCCAGTCGACACCACCTCAGCTCCCCAAGCCCGCGCCGCCCTGGACGACCTCGCGGGAACCCCACTATCAAAGCGGGCCTGCTCGTTCAACGGCTGCAAGTGCATCAAGGGCACACCTCAGGGCCAGTACTGCGGCAACTGCGACGCCGTCATCACGGACCAGCTCAATGACGACCACATCTACGAGTGCTCTCCCAGCGGCGCTTGTTGTGATTATGGCTCTTCCAACCACTGTGGTAGTACCTCGGTTCGTCCCCTGTGTGGTGCTTAAGCTCCCGTCGTTGCTTCACTCGGTGGATTCCCGGGGACGGGAACTGTTCAGTTGGGATTTCGGTGCATTGGGAAGGTTAGGCTCAGTCGCTCTTAGATGACTATAGCTTCATTTTTGTGGAAGCGGAATGCGTTCTCAGAAGTCATGGGGCTTCGATTCTCGAAATACTCGCGACCAACCAACACGAGACTTAGCTGGGTTGTAGGCGCCATCTAGCTCATTAATCTATGTTCTGTATTGGTGATGCAAGGGCATGTCTCCTCTTCCCAACCGTGATCCCTCGTGGCAGTGTACCCAACCCGATCTTTAATTTACGACTGATATGTTCCCATCCACCCTTCAAGCTTCCCCCTGGCGTGGAACCGACTCGCTCGGTCCCTCCTCCCTCGGGCTCGACTCCCAGTTGAACCGTGGCTAAACTCCTATCCTAGAATGTCAAATAGTGCGACTCGGCAACGGCAAGATACACCCTCGATGCGGCGAACAAGTTTATCTCCCTCGGCCTGAAAGACCTTGGGTATGAGTGTATGTCGATGTCACCCTCAAGTCGTCACCCTTGGACCTTGAGCTCCAAGCCACGAACGTTGATCGAACCCAGACATCAACGTCGACGACTGCTGGTCTACCATGGCCCGGGATGCCAGCGGAAAACTGGTCCCCAACCCTGTCAAATGGCCCAACGGCATTAAGGCCGTCGCTGATCAAATCCACAACATGGGTCTCAAGTGGGCCTCTATGGCTGCGCAGGCCAGATGACCTATGCTGGGTTCCCTGGGAGCGAGGGGAATGTTTTATACACAGTACAAATGCCCCATCTGCCACGACTACATCGGGCGACAAACACCGCGCGGACTTTATCGGCCACTACCCCTGGCGCCACCGTGGGACCTGTCAGAAGCGAAGGTGTATCTACGCTTACTACGGTATCAACGCGCGCCAGTGGCCTACTCCAAACCGGGACGATAAGAAAAAACCGTTGCTAGATTGCCAGGCGGCTGGATGTCGCAAGCGGATCGAGGGGTGGGCTGCCAGGTGCTTTTCTGTCGGTAGAAAAAGATATGTAGCAGTATATGCCTTTGGCAAAATGACGCTGGATTTGGGGGAGTTGGGCTAGTAGCCTGGGGCAACAAAAGTGCCGTGGTTTCCGAGGTAGGAAACCGCTGGATGCGGCGGCAGATGCACGTGAAATAAGAGTACTCTATGTACGTACCTTGGTATGTCCTGGGCCGTTGGCTTCAAGTTCCCAGCCTCTCCCTCATCAGCTACTTTGTGGAGTGAGCTCGTGGCGAAAAGATGCACTCTTCTTGTTCAGACACTTGCTGACGTCGGTGTCTCAACATGTTTTCTCTTGCTCTGGGCTGGCTGTTGTTTCAACCGACGGTTGGACAGGCGATCCGACCGCGCGCCGGCAACCACACAGTGTGCAACAGCCAGCTGTGCACGTGGTGGCACGACAATGGAGAGATCAACACGGCCGGCATGGTACATCTGGGCAACGTGCGCCAGTCGCGCAAGTAGTTGGTGCATGTGAGCATCTCGGGCGTCAACGACTTCTACGACTCGTTCGCCTACGAGTCCATTCCCCGCAATGATCGTGGCCGCAATATTCTCACCCTGGGAACCCCCTAACAGGAACAACACGCTGGGTTCGGACGTGGATGACGGTATCACCATTGAGCCCAGCGCTGGCATCAACATGGCCTGGTCCCAGTTTGAGCACTCCATCGCCGTCGAGATGATCTCACACGCGACGACTCACGCCTCCCTGTGCGTTCTGGTGTCAAGATCAGCCCGACGGCTATCAGCTGCGACATTCGCTCATCCAGCGACGGCGCTATAATCATCCACGTGACGCATGGCCCCAACGGCCGGAGATTTTCGGTCGAGTTTCGCAACTATCTGACCCGTACCGTTCCGACGGCGCGCGGTACGTCAGCTCAGGCGGCGCCGTTATCAGCGTGGAACCGAGAAACGCGCTGCTCATCTTCGCGAGCCCCTTCTTGCCAGACAACATGGTCCCGCGTATCGACGTGCCCGACACCAAAGTCATGACTCCCGGGCCGATAACCCAGACGACTGGGGCTCGTCCGGCATCCTATACTTCCCTTCCGGGGTGTACCGGATGAACTCCAACCCGCAGGGCCAGACACCCAAGATCGGCGAGAACCACATACGGCTTTCCCCAAACAGCTACTGGGTGTACTGGGCGCCTGGTGCGTACGTCAATGGCGCGATCGAATACTTGACAAGGTCGAATTTTTACGCCACCGGCCACGGCATCTTGCTCGGCGAGCATTACGTGTAGCAGGCCAACCCGGTGACCTACTATCAGGCCCTGAAGAGCGACGCCACCAGCCAGCACATGTGGGGGCACAACAGCCTGGGCGGCAGCCAGACTTGATATTGCCAGGGCCCGACCATCAACGCGCCGCCATTCAACACGATGGAACTTCCACGGAAGCTCCGACATCACCACCCGCATCTCGGATCATCGGGGCGTCGCCCTTCTACATGCCCCGCCGCTCGATCGACCCGGCCAGTTCCATCAATATGATCATCTCCAATCTCGTGTGCGAGGGCCTGGGCCCGTCGCTGATTCGCATCACGCCCCTGCAAGACTACCGCGCTCGAAGCTTGCAAAGACAAAGCCAGACAGCCATCTGGACACGCTTTATGTTGAGCCCCACGCCTCTGCAAAAGGACGGTTTACTCGCCAGTTACCTATCCGGCCAGAGCCTTTAGACGGATCTCCTTGCGGCGCTGGTTGGGCTTCAACCCCTTCACCACCGGGCGCCTGTCTCTTGCGGCGCGGCGCCAATGAGCCACCGAGGTATTTGCCGTATTCATAAGGTAGCGTTGTTGAACGTGAGAGAAGTCTCGCAGACGGCTTTCACAACATCACAGTCGTCAAGGAGACACGACAATACCCAAGGAACTCCTTCGGCCCGGCATCGGGGATGATCACATCGTGCAAACCAGTCCTTGTTATTCATAAATGCGGAGAATGAGGGCAGAGGGAAAAGGACAAGCTGTCTCGGCTTCAATGTTCTATGCTACCACGGACAGTAGTCAGGTCCGATGCTTGACCTTAAGAATAGACTCATTCAAGGCACTCTTAACCGTTGACTTACTTCCCGGCCAAGATGTCGCTCATCCAGGTTGCCTCCTATTAGGCTCTCAATCACCTATTAACCCATTGGCTCCAGTACGAAACATCGATATCAAGCTGTCCAAGTGAATCAGACTGAAATTTAATCCATCGTCACCCGCTCGCCGCGGACGGTCCAGTTTGAGATGGTCATGCCAAATTTGAGACCGGCGGGGGCAGCAGGCACAATACTCTTGCCTGTGTCGATGCTGTTGGTCTGCAGGCCGTGGGGGGACGCGGCGTTCTCGATACGCAAGTCGCATCAATTGAATCGGCAACCAGGGCAGTCGAGCTCAGTCAGGTTGGGTTCAGGTTCGTCAAGTGTCGTCCAAAACAAGGACGCTAGCTTAACAGCAAGCGCGGCTTCTGTAGTTCCAAACTCTGAAGACTCAACGCCAGGGGCGCTTAAAATAGCGCGGCGCCAGCTTTCTTCAGCCCAACTCGCCGTCACAGAGAAGCATCGGACGTTCGGCGCTTACACTATGCCCTTTCCCAAGTGGCTGCATGGAGGGCTTCACGCACACAAATAGAGGTATTCCATCATTGCCTAGACCCTCGCCGTACGTATTCAGCTGACAGCAGCGCCTATTGAGACATATGCATGCAGGCCGTCGCATGGGCTTCATGTCTCCGTCCTGCATCGTGATTGCAAAGCCTGCATTTCAGCCTTAAGTCTCAAACCTGACGCTGCATGTCACGAGACTTGGACAACCTTGTGGACGGTGAATTATTTTGAGGCGTGGGAAATTAGTTAAGGGTGAGGACTCTCGGATAGCGCATCCATCAGCGACAGCGGCCACAGGTTCGATTGTGTGGGTTTGCAAGCGCCCCTCGCTCCTAGCCCATGAACCCCTCTTATTTGGCTTGAGAGTAGCCGCCTTGTGTGAGGTAATTATATGCTGTGGCATGCTCGGGAACATAGAGGAAAGAATGCTCATTGGATGGCATGGGCGAGGAGCGGCGAACTCTCCAAGGTAATCAGGCATATTCAGCTCCGTTGTGATTGAGGCTTGCCCAGGATCCCGTTCTAATAAATGCTTCAACCTCGGTGGCATTCTTTTCATGGTTCCTCGCCCTTTGTGCCAACACACGTTCTTCCTCTTACGCTCGTTCCTATTTCATTGGTTTTCTCTCTCATCATTCTGTCCTGTTGGCTCGTACCGCAACAAAGGTCTATCCCATTGTGTTCGTCCTTGAAGAAATCACGGCCATGAGTCCTCAAATCCTATTCGGTCTGCTCCTGCTGGCTGGTACAGCAGCGGCGTGGTCACGTACGGACCATTGGCAGACCGCGGTGCAGACTCGAGGGTTTCGGAGCACCAGCTTCACCACATCCTCCATCTCTGTCGTTCCCACCGATGCCGCAACCCCCATCGCGTCCAACATCTCCACCTCGCTGATGAGCGGGTTCGAAGTCACCGTCACGGATTTATTCTACGCCAGCAACGCTTCGGGTCTCTGCACCCCACCGTTGGAGGACTGCAACCCCAGCACGACGCCCAGGACCACCACAAGCAGCACCATCACAACCAAATATTACGCCCTCGTCGTCATCAGCAACCCAGCCTCGTGCACACGCACCAGCTTTGCTTACACATCCGCACGGTCCCTTGACCGGCCCAGCGCGACCGACATGCCCGACTTTGAGGAACAGGCCACGCAGTCGGCCCACGCCCTGGCCGTCACCACGTACGTGAGCACGCTGAGCACCAACCTCGGCGGGCAGGACGTGACCACGTCCGTCTGCGAGGTGTACTTGCGCGAGGGAGCCCTGGTGGACATTGAGCCCGACGACGGTGTGCACTTTGACTGCGTCGATCCCCGTGTGTATTACTGCTCCGTTGCTATGGCGAGGGCGTCGCACTTTGCCAGCGGGGGTCTTCTGATCTTTGACCCATCGACATCGGCGGCCTGTCAGACTGATCAGCGGTACCCACCTGCTAGGATCACGGTGGGCGGTGGGGGAGAGAATGGGACGTCCGGGGTGTCTGCTGGTTTCACTTTCCGAGTCGAGATGGGTTGGTTGGCCGGGGTTGCTGGGGGAGCGGTGGCCATGGTCGCGATGCTTTGATGGAAATGTGGGTTGCTTGACTCAATTGTAAATCGTCAATCGTACTATTAGGCATGTCCTGTAGGTTTCTCGGAGAGGACGATACAACACGTTGTGGCTTGTGCCTCGTCACCAGTCTCATTGGATGGCGTGCTTGCAGTGAGCAATCACCCGTTCCGGCAACCTATAAGCCTTGTCGCCCATGGAGTCCTGGGTCCGTTCCAGCTCATTACATACCTATCGACGGTAGACACTACGAGGCTACTAGCTCTGTCCGTCATACCCTGCTCGACGCCAAAGTTCAGCGCCACCATACATGGCATTAAACGCATCCACAAACTCCCTCGTAGCGCTGGGTACCTCTCCCATGTCCACGCGCATTCCATTCTCAGCACACCAGTGGAGGAGAAACTTGATGTCCTGCGCGTCCGACCTCGTTTTGTCTTCCCCAGCGCGGCCCAAAATGGCTCGACATTTCGCGTTGAGAGTGAGCGTTGGTTTGATCAGCTGGATACCTTCCGTCAGCTCGATGGTTCAGTCGACTCGTCAAACGGCTCCCTGAACAGCGCCGGTGGGGCAATGATCTGGATGCCGACGGGCGGCGTGCTGAGGTAAACGGTGTGGTTGGTGCGCGCGTCAACGGAAAAGTGTTCGGGCTGCGCTTTGAGTTAGAGTCGGGCGTCTCGAACTCGGCCCTTGGGGACGACAAAGTCGACGTCGGTGGCCACCGAGGAGGAGGCGGGAGGCGCCGCCAACGATGGCGTACTTGATGTTGCCGTCTTTCAGGGCGTCGGCGACCGCCTTGGTCGACATCACAAATTGAGGAAACTCATGACTCTGAGCATGTTGGCCAGAAACTCATGGGGCTCTGCCGGTTTGCTGGCGATTATGAGAGCCCACTCGCGATACGAACCGTGCGACATTCTGCGCAAGGTAGGCATACCATGCCTGGTCTACTTTGAAGACGCGATTGCAGCACACGGCGTTCCTACGGCACTCTTCAACCTCTACCTCTTGGTTCCTGACCTTGCGGTTGCCGAGGACGCGCTTGCCGCCGCGGGATGGACCACGGCGCCGCCTTTTTGACCGCGGCTACCATTTTTTGAATGCACCGACATGTATGCCATACCGACGATTGGTACCCCCGACTCGCCCAATCCCTCCGTCGCAAGACGCGTCCCCTGGATCAACAACGACGGTTCTGCTTCCGGCCGTTTGTTGGGGCGTGCCCAACACTGACGCACTCTGCCGCGCATCAGCAGAGAGCCTAGTCCCTCTGCTGCCTCTCCTTCTCGACGGCTTGATCAAAACGCTTCTTGATCTACCTTCCTTCGACAGTCCTGTCCATGATCACTTGGCCACACAGATATCGTATCTCTACGCACACTGCGACCCGCTCAATGACCAAGACTTCGCGGACGGGTTGATGTTGGAGCACCGCCAGTTCCACTACGACGCTCTTTCAAAGCTGGGTCTGGGGACAGTGCCTTTCTCCAGCGAGCACCGTCGGATCAGGGATGACATTAGGAGCGTGAGGCGTGAGCCGCGGAGGGGCTCGTGGTACATGCCTCCTGCTCGCCACGGATAGTGGCTGGATGACCCTTCTCCCTGGAGACTCGAGTTGTCGGGTGGTGCAAACTCACTGTGGGCTGGATCTGGTGCAGTGACGTGCCTCAATCTAGCTCCGAAATCGACCAACTGAGCGGTAACCAAACAGGCCGGTTGTCATGGTCTGATTGAGATAACGTCGAGCTACGTCGTCGTCGCGGGAGGAAAGCAACGGTCCCCACGCTGGGCCCGGGATGCCAAAGAATCTCTCCGACGGCTGTACGGCCTCGCTGTTGAGCTTTGCATACATGTACCCGTCGGCTGGAGATGGGGGTCCGCACTGGAGCCCGCCATGTAAGGCGTAAGCCATGGATACACGTCGCAGCGACATCTCAAGGCCTCTCTGTTGCTTGCATGATTAGAGAACTAGCCGCCTTCTCCCTCGCAGCTGCCCCCAACGTTCGGTCCGTCGAGGACCAACGAAGTTGGCACGTTGGTTTGAACTGTAACACGCCCTCGCGATTCGGTTTCATTTTCCTGCTCGTCCATTTACCGGCTGCACGCTCATTATGCCGCGGCGGGGCCCCTGCTCTGATACTTGGGGGCCGTTTCCACAATAGGTTGGCCGCCGCCACTCCATAATGCATGGGCAGCACTCGAGAAGCCGAAGTATTGACGAAGTAGGATTTGGATAATGCGACCTCGCTGCATAGAGACAGGGGGCGACTCTCAGTTCAGTGGTACTCTTGCAACCGTTTTCTCTCCGATGTTGAGGATGCCGTGAGGGTTGTGGAGTCGACTCGCTTCCACAGACTGATGTGACACTACAATCTACATCTGTCTTTGACTCTTACACGTGGCCTATATAAACATCGCCAATCACCCCCTGAGTCGATAGTTTTGACTGATTGACCGAGATTTCACACGCATTCGCCTCACTCCTTGCTTTCTCATCCCTCGTCTCTGCTCCCAACAATAACTATCCTCGCCATGAAGTTCCTCGGCCTCGGCGCGATGACGATGGGCCTGCTCGCTGCAAGATCAGTCCACGCTGCACCTGCAGCTGAGAACCTGACACCCCGTCAGTACTGTCCCCCTGGGTACGGATTTCCATGGTGGTCCGAGGGCGACAATTACTGCAACGTCCCCCGCTACGGGGGCAACGGTTGCCGCCGTGAATGCGGCACCACACCCCAATGCATCAATGGCCTTTGCTGTATCAACGTCAAAGACGGCAGCACCTGTTAGGCATGAAGGTTGTGACGTACTTACTATCTACCTCCTTGCAAAAAAGTCCGGCAGTTGGCTAATAAAGTGCTAGTGCCACTGTCACAGCGACAACCCTAACAGCCGTTATGGTACTCCTCAGAGTCTCCATTTACTTCCAGAGTCTTGACATTTTCGCTTTGGAAACCAAGGCAGGCCTGATGACGCCAAAGCCCGCAAAAGCCCGCCTTTCCTGCACAATTTTACGGCGGGAAGGATGCCTATGGAGGATGTTCGACAACCCCCTTCAGCACTCTACACAGTATCAGCGGTTGACGATCTGACATGGCATATGGATAGTGCAGTGGTTATGTGCATGTGGTGGAAGTTTCGACGCAAGTGAGAGAAGACCTGGTGAGCGAACTATGGCTTTGGGTGTGAGGGGGGTCCTGTGTACTCACAGACAACTTGAATGGGGTAATTTCTCAGTCCTTTAAAAGTATTGTGCATGTAGTGATCTCAGCGTTGAGTTCTGCCTACCTTAGGTGATGGCAACGCTTTCCACAGATTCGACGCCCCATTCTCCAATTGAACAGGACTCAGCCCCCTTGAAATGGCAATGGCAGCCACCCCGCTCTTGCATTGCATCTCAACGGCCACGTGAGATCGAGGACACTGTGTAGCAAATGGCAGTGCGCGAGAAGCATGAAGCGACAGGCCAGTGGAACCGACGGAGGTCCCATCTCAATTGGCGACAGTTTCCTAACAGAAATAGCTGTCTTGGCGCGCGGGGGACCCGCTAAGTTAACCACATTAGGCTAGATTAAGGCTGCAACCATCGGGGTCCTCCGTCTCTACTTCACCTCCCAGCGACGAGATTCAACAAAGGGGAGCGAAGCCAAACAGCGTTTCATGTCCTATCCACCGATCCCGACCATTGAGAAAAGTTACTTCAAGGGTATTGAATAAGCTCAAATCGCCCGCGTTCAAGAACGCGACCGACCCTAGCCTTGTGGCTGCGCCATGCGATCTCGCACCACCGCGATGCTTGCCAAGTGCGGCTGAGCCCAGAAGTTCCTAGCGCGTCGTCAAATGGACAGGGGATGGAGGGATTCGGGGTTCATGGGCCGAAGGATTGCAAAGAAAAAGGGCGATCACGGCCCTGCGCGTTAAAGCTCGATGGTTGCCCTTGTCGGCTTTTTTCTCAACTCCTTTCTCCTCCCTTTCCGCTTCCACCGCCGACCGCCATCCAGAGTCACCACCAGAGCCGGCCAAGCCAAGACAAGTCCTCATGGCCGTCCTTCACCTCGGGTGGTTGGTCGCCGCCTCGGCATGGCTCCCCGCCGTGTCCGCCGACCTGGGCCGGGAGCAACCTATCCCAGGAGGCCCCGTCCAGACATTGGCGGCCGACCTGAGGGAGCCTCGTCTGAACGCCCTCCCGCCTGTTGTGACGGCTCGTGCCGTCCCCATGGCATTGCAGAAGCGCGCTATCAAGACATGCGGCTACGTCGACGGAGATCAATGTCAGTACTTATACTCAGCCCTTCTGGTCTATCCCGGTTAGTCAACGGTGCTGACCAACGCACAAGTCAACTCTTACGCCTGTGCACACTCAGCGGCAGAATGCATCCACAACACGGAAGCCTCTGCTGTAGGCTGCTGTGCGACCGAATCGTGTCTGATCTGGACGGCCTGTCTCCCCTCTCTCTCGTCCGCCGCCACTCGGACCATGGACGCGGACAGGACGCGGTATTGGTAGGCCGCTGCATCACAGCTTTTCGGGCCTTGGAAAACGCTGACAGGCCTAGCTCCGACTCCAAGTCGCCGTCGTGCGCCACCCTAATCTATGCCGACCCAACCAACACCTACCTGTCCGGCTACACCATCCCAATATGCGACACCGTCGCCACGACGTACAAGATCTACTGGAGCCCGACCGGCGTAACGTCGAAAACAACAGAGTCCTCTACAGCACGGACGACCACCGAGTCGGAGACGTCAGAGACTTCAGACTCCAAGACATCCTCGTCTTCCCGCGAGTCCACCGGGACGCGGGCGACCGCCACCTCCACCTCGACCAATGACCCAGCACCTTCCGTGGCTTCCTCTGAGTCTTCTACTCCTGTCGGGCCTATTGTCGGTGGTGTTGTCGGAGGCGTGGGTAAGTTTGGTCACTTGACTTGACCTTGTCCCCCTCAGAGACTCATGAATCCTCCAGCTGCCCTTGGCCTGCTCGGCCTCGCAATCTTCTTCCTCATCCGGCGCAAGAACAAGAATGACCCTCCCTCGCCGCCCGCCAACCCGGCCGCGGTCGCGGCATCCGGCTTTATGCCGCCCCCGGGACAAGGCCCTTACCCGAACCCGACGCCCCCTCCCAACATGGCGGGCATGCCCCACTCCCCCGGCTCCTTTGATCCGCGCTACAGCATGATGAAGCCGGCGGGAGCGACGGCCGTCGATTCGATGCAGGGTCCGCCGCATGCAGCCAGCGGCGACTTCCGCGCCAGCGACGTCTCGCCGGGGAGCAGCCCGTCGCCGGTCTATCACCCCCAGATGCAGTCCATGGGTGCCGTCCCCTCGGCAGACGGGATGAGAATGAACATGGGCACGCCGCCGCCTGCTCAGCATATGGGCATGGGCACGCCCCTTCCCCCGCAGAATGGTCCGTATGTCCCGTACCCGGGCCCCCAGGTGCAGCACCACCAGCAGCAGCAGCATGGACATGGAGCGGTGGAGTTGCCTACGCAGCGCGGTGATGGGGAGGTGCATGAGCTGTCGTAGAGGCTCGGGTGGGGGTCAGGGTGCTGGGCTTAGGGACGCATTGTAGTTCTTTTCGAGCGTATAGTTTACTGGCAACTAGACTTGGAAGCGAGGTACGATTGGCAATTTTCATTCCCTGGTACAGGTACTACTGCGGTTCAGAGCGTCCCGTCTAGTCTCTTTGCTAAACTGGCTGGATCTTGTATATGTATGGGCCGAGCGCGGTCTGTAGCCACTCAGGGGTAATCCCGACCTGGTCGTGCAGCTGCAGGGGAACATCGAGAATTGTCATGGGCTCAGGTTGGGCAAGCTCCCCCTTGCTCAGATCGCAGATTTTCCTCAATCTTTCATTGCGGGTGCGGACGTGTAACGATGGGGGATGGTCTTCAGCAGCTCTCCCGAGTGTCCGACTACGGCATCAGCTGTTGCATGCCCTACACCTGCTCAAGTCTTACGGGACATAGTGGACAAACGGCGCCCAGGTTAGCGGCACCTCCATGTCATCAGTTCGCACAGCCATGAGCGCCTCCGTCAATGCCTCGGCTACATCCCTATCCTCCCAGTCTTCGCCCTTCCGGCTAAAGAACGTTGCGTAGAACCGGCTCGCTACCTCGACACCAACTCTGTCCACCGACGGCCACAGACAATCGACAGCGTGCGGGAAGCCGGCAAGCTCAAACCCGCTCACGACGTGCAGCACTTTCGTCCGAAAGCGATTCGGCCGAGTTCTGCGCCGTCGAGCAAGCCGACGAGTAACTTAAGCGGGCATTTCTCGTAATTAAGTCGCGAGATGTTGGCGGCCGTGAGCCTATCCTGCTGCAGCCTGGACTCATCTCGGCCCCTTTGCGGAATCAGTCCGCTGCTGGGTGGATCCACATCATCCGTGTATCCGTGACAGCTTAGGCAAAGTGCGCGATAGAGGATCGCCTCATCCCCTCAATCACCTACTCGGCGCTGGGCTGATCCATGCACTCAAAGGCAACGCCGGGTGCCGCCTGCACGGTTTCAGCAGTACTTGCTCCTTTTCCTGGAAAACACTAGGGAGGTCCGCAGGTGCACTATTGCTTTGTATAGGGTAGCCAGCATTGTCGCCATGGTAACCACCAGGAGCGCGCCCACTGCTCTCTTCTCTTCCGTGACACGGTCATCGCCCTGCAGGTTCCAACAAAATGCTGTTCAAGGCAAAGAGATCTACCCTCAGCTCGCCTCGGCTCGCCTCAGCTCTTAAGAATCACGAACAGCTAACCTATCTAGTGTATCAGAAGCAATGTATCGCTAGCGCGGACGAAAGAATCTGTAGATCACCTCGACGAAGCTGTCTGTACCATGCCGCTTGCGCACCTTCCTTCCCGCGGGTCGTGGTCTTGCCACTTCAATCTTCCACTGCTTAGGCGCCTTCAACATTGGGTCTAGAACGCTGTGTCCTCCTTTTCAAGAGGCTGCCGCGGAGAAGAGATTACTGCTTGGCTCCCCTTCAGCCGCCTCATTCCAACCCATCGATCACGGCAAGTCAGAAATCTAGGCCGAGGAGTGCTAGGTAGGTGAGCCAAGAACAATGAGATTCAGAATGGATTTGTCTAAGGTCAATATCGACACTCACGGCTTTGAATCGACTTTTACAGTGCTGCCAAACCAATCAGCAAAGTTAATTGGGCATTCCGGTCTAGTCCAAATCTCTGCAACTTATGGTAGTGTATCAACGTACAGCCCGAACAACAACCTCTGAACCTGAACGGCAACAACTGACGTATAAGCGCGTAAAAAGGGTGAGGTGTATATGGCAGCCATTTCAGACTCTTATTACCAGGAGGACCGAGTGTGACCTGTAGGAACTGACCAATCGTGGTGTGACTGAACCCCGGCATGTCTGTCAGAGCCCCTGCCGGGGGAGAAACCCAAGACCGTCGATTTACCCCTTTCTCATCACATCGTCGCCTTGCAGTTGTGGGCTCTGTTGTTGTGGAATTTAGCGCGGGCTGTCTGTCAGCTGCAAGCGTGACTCCGTTCCCAGCCAGCCACCTGCTCTTGACAAGCTGGAAGGAGACGTCGACATTTCACCTGACTGAGGGGTACCGGCTAGTGCACTGCACTTTTGCGAGCTCACAATTCCGAAGCGCCAAAATGAGCGCACCGGTAACGCAAACGGACAAGAGGGTTGTACCTTGTCTTTCTCTCTCGAGCAAGTTGATGAGGAGTCCGATACGGACGAATTCTGTAACAAACCCATCTGGCCTCCTGCCGGCTGAACAGGAGACATAACACCATAGCCACATCTTCGACTTTGCTAGCACTATTACTAAACACATTCAACCACACACACTCAGCCACACGTACAGACATGCACCGTCATTCTTTCAGCATCACTGCTCCATCTCTTCACCTTGACATCCACATCCCTCACACAAAATGTCCATCACCCGCACGCTCAACTGGTACGAGTCGGAGGCCGGCGCCAAGCTCATCGCTAGCAACAACTGGCAGCTCCAGGTGGCCAAGAGCGTTGCCCCCCGAACACCGGCGGCAAGCCCATGTACAACATTGTCTGGCAGTCCCAAGACGTTGCTCCCATCACCCAAATCTCGTGGACTGAGGAGTATGCCTTGGGCTGGATGGCCAAGGTGCCCACCGATGGCTTCCGCGTCAACATTCTCGGCATGTGGCAGCCCTGCAACAAGGGCGAGACGTACGACATCAACAATCTCGACTTTTGGGAGAGGTCGAGCAAGCCTGGCGAGCCCGGCTAGCTCGGTGTTGGCAAGATCAAGTACTCGTATCCCCAGGTTCCCGGCATCCACACCATTGTCGGTGTCAATAATGCATTGACTGGCCGATTCGAGCCCGTTTTTATTGATCGCACCGCCCTGCCCGAGGGCTCCACGGCCAAGTACCAACCCCAGGAGACGGTGACGTGGTGGCTCGAGTCCAACAACCGTACCAGCCAGGTCTTCAGCACTACGAAGTCGGACTCCACCATGTATGACTTTAGCAACCCGAGCGACTCTATCACGAGAGTGTACGAGTGGTTGACATCGTATGTTGCCGGCAACTCCAACCCTTCCCTGAGAACCACATTGTCAAACTCAAAAACAGTGCTTCCGAAAGCTCCCTCAGAGACGCCATCAAACGTGTCAAGGCGAGCAACACAAAGCACATTTACCGCTCCGGCCGCTTCAACGGTTTCGCGGCCAAGTTGAGTCCGCAGGTGCTCGAACACGTCCGGAAGCTTCCAAAGGTTTGCAGTGGTGCTTCGACTCTGTTGGAGTGCGATAGATACTCATGTATAGCAGGTTGAGTACATTGAGCAAGACGCCGTCATTACATTTTACGATTACGTGACCCAGAACAACCCTCCCTGGGGCCTCGCACGCATCTCGCGCCGCACCCCAGGCGCTACTAGCTACGTGTATGACGAGAGCGCCCGCGAGGGCACCTGCTCATACATCATTGATACGGGCATCTACGTTGACCACAACGCGAGTTCCCTATTTATCCCTTTCCACCTCCTCGTCCTCCTCTCCATCTGTCCACCGTCACTTATATTTTTCCCCCCAACGCTAGGTGCTGACCCTCCCAGGAATTCCAAGGCCGCGCGACCTGGCTAGCCAACTTCATCGACGACGCCGACACCGACGGCGCCGGCCACGGCACGCACGTCGCAGGCACCGTGGGCGGCGTGACCTACGGCGTGGCCAAGAAGACGCGGCTGTTTGCCGTCAAGGTGCTCAACGCCAACGGTCGGGGCACCGTCTCGTCGCCGATCGCGGGCATCGACTTTGTCGCGGCCGACGCACGCAACCGTACAGCGGCAGAGGCGTGTCCCCGCGGAGTGGTTGCCAATGTGAGCCTGGGCGGCGCCAGGTCCAGTGCAATCAACAGCGCTGTTGCCGCTGCGGTTGGTAATGCGGGCATGTTCTTTGCGGTTGCGGCGTGGAATGATGGCGATGATGCCCTGCACAATTCGCCGGCTAGCGAGCTGAGTGCTTGTACGGTTAGCGCGGCGGATGTGGCGGATGTGAGATGGGCTTTGTCGAATTATGGCGAGGCGGCGGATTTGTTTGCCCCAGGTGTGGGTTTGCTGAGTAGCTGGATTGGAGGCGTTGACTGGACTGTGAGTGTTCCATTGCTCTTGCGTGTTCAAGTTGCTATGTGTCTTTCTAAGTTGTTTCTGACAACAATAGCTATACCTCGCGGGTACCTCGATGGCCTGCCGACATGTTGCTGGTTTTGCTGCCTATCTCCTTGCTCTCCTTGGCTCCAAGACGCCGGCCGAGCTGTGCCAGTATCTCAAGGACACAGCGACACTCGGTACTAGCACTGATCTCCCCAATGGCACCTTCAACGCCATTGCCTTCAACGGTAACTCTAATGCCTAGTCCAGCTCCGAGTAATGTTTTTCAAGGGTGGCTTCGAATCCAGTCAATCCCTTAAGAATAGCTAAGGGTGCTGTTACCTGTTGGACTCTCTTTCATAGTCCTCTCGTGGATGTGATTGGAAGGGTCCATGGACCGTTGACTGCTTTTCTTGAGCGTCTTATAGGACTAGTATGAACTTATATTTAAGCATCTCACTGTGCAGTGTTGCCCATTTCTGACCTGACAGATTACAGCGCTTGATTGAGATTATGAAGATGTGGAAGAACTGACGTGACGCATCCCAAGTGCTTTATAAAGAACGACGAATGGAGAGTGCACAGCCACAAATCTTCGCAAGAAGCCAATGCTTTTTGTCTCGGTCCTTGGTGTAGGTAATCATACCCTATCTTTCAACCTGAATAACAGGCTTATATTGTTCTATCCGAGTTGGGCCGGGTCTAGTTCCAGTTACTCTAAGTTCACCCACTAAATTCTTTCCCCTTAACTCAGAACATCAGGACTACGGAACCATGGGCAGGCTCAAGGCAGAACACCCGAGTCCAGCGTCGGCTTTCGTTCGAATGCGTCCCTCAGATCGCGGGCTATTACCTAGATGCAATCTTTCCTTCACACTCCTTTCGTCTCATCTGCCCTCATAAATCGCGTCTTGCAAACTTTTCCACCTACGTTCCCTTTGCTTCCTTTGAGACTTTTCTCCCTCTCTCACTTTCGGCCTCCTCGCTTAGTACTTCTATCGCAATCCTCTCACTGGCGTTCCCACAACTCATAGAAAGCGCGTCGCTGCTGGCTTACCCTTTGCTTCCATTCTTTTTTCTTTTTTCGTAACACGACAAAAGACAACAAACAGACCGAGACGACAGCGACGGGAGAAACTGCCGCGACGACGATCGCGACGGGGCTACAACCCAATGACGGCGCCAGCCCCGTCGACACCTCTCCCACACCTCGGCCTGCATCCCGGGGATGCCAGACGCTTGATTCTGGAGATGCGGGTATTGAGTGATGGAGAATCAAGCCGTAGCGCTGTATGTGTCGATGTTTTGTCCTTCTTCCACTCTTTTCCTTTCTCTTCTTCCTTTCTTGCTTTCTTAGTCCTATGACTCAAGATGCTAATCTAGCGTAACCCACAGGAGGCACAAAACCTCGCTGGCACCTCGTTGGTCTCGCCCGCTGTTGAGGTAGCTAACATGAGTGCTAGGAAGGAGAGCACTGCCGGGGTTGGACCGGATGGTAAAAGCGATGAAGAGGATAACAGAAACGACGAGGACGATGAGGACGATGAACCATACTTTGCCAACACAAGCCGCGTACTTTTCGGGACGAACGACCTCCTCGCCTCTTCGCCTGCTGCGGTTCCCGATTCGCTTCCTCCGGCAGTCGAGATCGGGAATACTAGTGGTGGTGGTGGCCTTGGAGCGCCGATTGGACCCCAGCCACTCTTCAAGAGAACGCTGCTCTGCTTCGACGACGTCGTGGGATCGGGTCGGATCTGGACCCCAATAAACCTAAGAGGAGACGCGGATCCCCACTGGAGAGAGGTTCCGCACAATCCAGCCCATCCTGTAGGTTCTCAGCCCTCCCCTTTCTATGCGAATTCGGATGGAGTTTGTTGGCGAGCTGGTGGAATGTCCAGACTCCAGACATAGACCCATCTTCCGGCCCAAGTACCCTTCAGATTACTACACCACCCCTACTTCCCCCGTCTCATTCCTGACCTGACTGCTGAAACCTCCCATAGCCCGTCCCAGGCGAAGGTACCTGCCACCCATCCAACCTCACACACCCCGACAGCTCCCTCCCAGCCATCATCCACGAGCACCACGCTCGCCTCGCAGCGGAGGGCACCCTCTTCGCCACCACAATTGCCAACCTCGAATGGGCGGCCTCGCTCATTGATAACTGCGGCTATGACTTGGTCGCCGGCGCAGCCAAGCTGAAGATCCCGCGATGGCTCCGCCAGCGCCATGAGATGCGGCCCTTTGTCTTCCCTGCCACGGGCGCCAACCCCTTCGTGGGCGCCAGGCTGCCGCCCGGCGTCTGGGTGGGCGACGACCCGATGGACTTGCTCCGGCCGAGGAGGGAGCTGAATCCGTTGAGGGAGGGTGTTGACGTGCCGTCTGCACTGACGTCGAGTATTTATGGTAGAGTCGAGTCTAAGAGGAGGGAGAACGCCTTCTTGAATCCGGGTCAGTGGAAGGGGGAGGTGACGCCGGTGGAGGAGTTGGGTAGGGGGTTGGTCGAGCTTCCTTGGGGCAGTCGAGAAATGAGCAAGGCGAAGGGCCTGGATGCGATCGCTTGTGTGGCTGGCCCGGAAATTGGGGCCGAAGACGATGGTGGTGCTGACCAGCAACAGCATGAGGTCGGAGAGAAAGATTTCGATCATCTCAGCATGACAGCGCGTGAAAACTGAGGACGGAGTTGGAATCGACAAGAGGCTGGGCTAAAGGTGCTCGAGAACAAGACTTGGTTCGGTCAAACGGTGTCGCGGCCCCTCAAGAACGATGGGTACTTGTACAATACATGCCAAGAGAGGAAAGACGGCTTGGAGCAGGTTAAGTTCGACGGAAGCTGCAGCGGGCAGCGGCAACGAAGACCTCTAAGATCGGATGAAACGGAGGTTGACGAGCTCGCTACAGTACTGTCACGTCCCTGACCTCCATCCGTTCCAGTCGCTAAGCATTCACTGAGTTGGTTTATGTAGGGTTGAGGCCTGATAATTGCGGTGCGGAAAGGTGGGATGGAATCATGAGAGGAAGAGAAACCACGAGTGGGAGTGGATGGGGTTGCCACCTTTGTCAGAATGAGGCCCATACCGTCCTTGGAGCTTCCATGAGGGTACATACCTGTCGGGTGAAACGTGCGTGGGCAGGGTACCTTATGTAGGCAATTAAATTTCTCTTCAGCCCTGGGTGAGAGAATGACTGGGAAAGGAATATATCGTCGTGAGATCAAGTTGAGCTCGGCCTAACTGCGGTATTTGGTTACCCGAAGAAGTACTGATTTGGCTGGCCCTGCTCTCCTTGTCACTTCTGCCAGTGGTGGAGGCACTGGCATTTGGAGTCACGGCTTGAGATTGCCATGGAAGTATCCAAATCCGGCCGTTCGTGCCTAGTGCACAGTGGCGGTACCAAGATGCGGGAAGCTCCCTCCCGCCGACAGTCTACCGCGTATGCCCTCTCAAGAGGTCAAGAAATCAAGCAGCGAATGACCCATCTCAATGGCCAGCTCTCGAGTCCCTACTCTTTGAAGAGGAGGCCAGACTCGCGAGATAATACCACTCTGGCAGGAGTTCAAAACTGTGCGAAAAAAATCCGAGCAACTCGAGGCGGCCAAAACCAACATAACAAGCAAAGCCTAAAACCTGACGCTGAGTTTGCCTAGGTAGGTCCCGTGTTCCCGTCTTAGACGTCTGGACCCCGCATCGGAATCGGCCCCACAATGGAATCCTGGCACCGCACCACCATTCCATCCATGACTAACTTCAACTCAACACAACTCATCCACTTCTGGGCCAAAATCAACATGACCGCTATCCGGGAAGAGCTTATTCAATTGGCTATAGCCGAGGTTCAAGAAGGCCTTTGTTCACATAAAGATGCAGCGGAAAAGTACAGCATCCCACAGTCTACCCTGAACCGACGGCTTCATGGCGCCCACCCTCGACAACAAGCCAAAATCCACGAACAACGGCTCAGTCCTGTGCAAGAGAGGCATGTAGTCAATTGGTGCCTCAATGAAGAAAAGTCTGGAAGGGCTCCTAGACGCAGCCAGGTGGTGGCTTTCGCGCAGGCCATCTTGGCTGAAGGAGGTGATCATCAGCCCCTGGGTGCTAGATGGATCGACCGCTTTCTACGCCGCCAC